TCTCTGGCTCTCTGTATCTCGCTCTCACTGGCTCTCTTTTTTGCAAAATCTCTCTCTTTCTCTCTCTCACTCTCTCTCTCCCTCTCTCTCGCTATCGATTTCACTCTCGCTCTCTCTATCTCGCTCTCGCTCTCTCTATCTCGCTCTCGCTCTCCCTCCCACCTCTCTCTCACTTCCCCTCTCTCTCTCTCTCTCCCTCTCTCTCGCTATCGATTTCACTCTCGCTCTCTCTATCTCGCTCTCGCTCTCTCTATCTCGCTCTCGCTCTCCCTCCCACCTCTCTCTCACTTCCCCCTCTCTCTCTCTCTCTCTCTCTCTCTCTCTCTCTCGCTTGGCCTTTAAAGGGACTAGGACACGGAATAGACCTGAATAGACATCTACGTTGACTATCAGTAGATGAGCGAAGAAATGCCGCCTCGACTTCCGCATTCTTGGCCGACGTCTCCGGAGAGTGTCTCCTCATCCCCGATGGTTCCGCTCCCTCATTCTCAGCCACCACCCCCTTCTGCATCAGCCAGTCCACTCCACTTCATGAAACGGAAGACGCAGAAGGGTGGGTAGAGAACGTGTCATTTTCCCTTTAGAACTAAAGGATTAAAAATGATAGTCAGTATTCTGATTGCAGATGTGAAGCGCTACTGTTCACTATGCCGACAGCACGGCGTCTTGGAGGAGACAAGAGGGCATGATTGTACACGGAAAGAGTGTACATGTATTAAGGTTTGTTTGAACGAGAGAGAGAGAGAGAGCAAGAGAGCGAGAGAGTGAGAGATATAGAGAGAGAGAACAAAAGCAGTTCTACTAGATTTATAGCTCCAAAATTACTCTAAACCGAGGCTTCAGCCTAAGCCCCAGCCTACGCCTATCCTAATCAGGGAACCACCTAAGGTCGGGCTGGCGTTTCGATGTGAGCCTATTTTGTGCAGAACTTCTCGCTGTTTCCGAAGCCGCGGCGCATTTTTGCCAAATAGCCCTTTTTAGAAAGTTATAACGTTTCAAAGTTGAATTTTTCCCAAATTGGCCAACTCAAGGCCATTTATTTTGCCTTTCCCAGTCGATTTCTCAAAAACAAATATCGAAAACGTATTTCGAAAAAATCGACGATGCTTTAAAATCGCCCGAACTTTTTAAATCCGGCCATTTGGCAAAAATTGGAAGCGAATGCGGTATCAGCAAAAAATTCTGCAAATGGACTGGGTCGCATACCGAAATGCCACCTCGAACTTAGGCTTGCCCTTGTAAATCTTAGCCCGGCGTAAACCTCAATAATCTCTCTTTTCCAGTGCAATTTGGCGCGACGTCGGCGTGACATCATGTCGAGTCAGATCAGATTACGACGATCACAGGAGCGGAATCGAGATATGAGGATGAGAACGTCTTCTGAAGATGGACCATCGACCTCTTATCAGGTAGGGAGGATCGAGTGTCGGTTGGAGACAGGACTGGGTGGCTGTTGCTCTTGGCCAAACTATGGGATTACGCTATGATACTGCGAACAATCCGAAAATACCAATACCCATTCAGGAACCAGTCGCCACGGCCGTCTACGCATGTCAAAAGTGCAAAAACCACGGGTTGATACGATCGAAGAAGGTACTGGGATTTCTCTCTCTCTCTCTCTCTCTCTCTCTCTCTCTCTCTCTCTTTCTCGCTCTCGCTCTCGCTCTCATTAACTGCTTTTTTCAGGACCACATCAAGGCGTGTGCGTACGCAACATGCGACTGTGAAAATTGTACGCTGATAGATTCGAGACGACAGGTCGAATTGTGTCTCAAGGAGTACTGTCAGACGAGCAATGGAGGTCAGTTTTTTGCACGGTTCTTCAAAGAATCGCTGCTAGCCTGCCCGAATCCCTTCAAATCCCTCAAAGACTCTCTGCTAGCTTGCCGAACCCTGCGAAATTCCTAAAAAATCTCTGCTAACCTGTCGCTACCCCTCCAATACCTCTAATAATATCTGCTAGCCTGCCCCAAGCCCTCAAAACTCCCGCGATAATCTCTGCTAGCCTCCCCAGTAAGTTCACTACATCCTGCCCTTCCATCTTGGACGTACCAAACCACAAAGATTCTAGTGATTTCCTCCCGATTTCCGGTCAAATCCATTTTTTCCGCCTTTCCACGGCGGGCCCTTTAATCTTCCGGTCTCGCCCGCTTTTTGTCTGGCCACAGAGAGCAAAAACCCAATCCCACCCTGGGGGGAATGGTTGTGTTTTGAGGCCTCCTGATTGGTGAAATCTGGGGGTCCGAAATGCTACTGATGACGCGAGTTTACGCGCGTAAACGATTCAGACGAAGCGGAGAGAGAGCTAGAGAGAGAGAAAACGAGAGAGAGAGAGTGCGAGAGAGATAGGGAAGGAGAGAGAGAGAGAGTAAGTGAGAGAGATAGAGCGATGTCGAGAGAGAGGTGAGAGAGAGAGAGAGAGGGGATAGCGAGAGAGGCGGACAAGGGAACCCCAAAAAAACCACCCGACTTTTTAAGGGTCTAGCAAGTCAGAAAAACCCCCGATCCCACGCAGTACATTACACCACGCTCGAATTCGCGGGTTTTACGCATAGCGTACCGGAAGATTTTTGAGTATATTTGCTCTTCAAGACGATTTTTAAGGCACTTGCGCTCCTCTTTTAAAGGGACCAGCAAGTCAAGACAAGCTGAAATACAGAACCCCTATCACAGTACTGTATTTCTGGGCAGCTCGTTAATGCGCCTCAGCTTAAAATCGCGCTGGGACCTCCAGGGGGGGCCTCGATTTTGTAGGCTTGAGTTCCGGGACTTGAGTTTGGCCGTACAAGTGTGTTATGATCGGTAATTGGGGCGTGAAGCGAGAGGGAGAGAGAGAAGAGAGAGAGAGAGAGAGAGAGAGTGAAAGAGAGAGAGAGAAAGAGAGAGGGAGAGAGAGACCCCCAGGGGGGAAATGATCCGTTCCCGGGACCGGGTTGGGTTCTGTCGGACCTAGGGGGCAGAAGCCGCCAGACCCAGACCGGCTGCCCAATTAACAGAACTACGGACTTGAAGAGAGAGAGAGAAGGAGAGAGAGAGAGAGAGAGAGAGAGAGAGAGAGAGCGAGAGCGAGAGAGAGACGGGATATGATTAGTCGATGACTCATTGCTCACCACTTCTGCACGTACGCAACGAGATAGCACAGAATTCTGAGAGACGCAGAGAAGCTCCCTTACGGGGATTATTAGACGACTCACCTGGGGGTCCCTGATTTTCAAAGCCACTCCGCAGCGACAATACGGAAAGCGAGGGCGAGGGAAACTTGACATTAAAGGAACTAGGAAGTCGAAAAATTCAGACAATTTCAGATGAATCTACGGGAGCAGCACCTGGGACGAGCCATTCAAGGAATAAGGTGTGAATCTTGCTGTCAATGTGCTTTTAGAGCCGAAATATACCTAAAATCGAAGCCTCACATGCTTGTAAGTCTAAGCTTAAGCCTTAGCCTAAGCCTAAGCCCGAGCCTAAGCCTAAGCCTAAGCCTACCCTAGCCTAAGCCCAAGCCTTAGCTTAAGCCTACCCTAAGCCTAAGCCGATGCCTAGGCCTAACATAAGCCTAGGTCGAAGTCTAAGCCTAAGTCGAACTTAAGCCTAAGCCTAAGCTAAGCGTAAGTTCTCCTTAAAACCAAGGGCAATGGCGCCATCCCTTTAGAACCGAATCAACCTGTCACAGCCCCTATAAAACAATTTTTCAGATGCACTCCTCGACCTCCACCTCATCCTCCTCACCGTTCAGTGGTCTCCTCGGCTCAATCTCGGTGCTCCCTCCCCTCCTGCTCCCCGCTTCATCCGCTTCTACAACAGTCTACCTTCCGGTTGGGAATACATTCCCTCTGCTCCCCTCTCATCCCCTTCTCAATCCGCTTCTGCCTCTCACCCTCCCCTCTGTCACCCAGTCGATCGCGTTTCCGCTCAACTTTTTTGGGCGGAATAGTCTGTTTTCGAATGCTAGCACCGAGGAGGAGGAGCCGGATACGCCTCCGGAGGCTTCCGGATCAGCATGAGATGATTCTGAGGCTCAATTTGAGCTTTCCAAGTTTTTGAAGCCTCAACTTGGCCTTACTAAGCTTTCGTAGCTCGAAAACTAGATATCAAATTTGTGTTTGAGACTGTTAAAAAGTCGAAGAATTTCTGAAAATCTGGTATTGGCGAATTTTAGGATTAAAAAGCTGAAAAGTTTTGTTTTAAATCCAAAATTCGTGAATGATAGCCTTAAAAATATACCAATTTTCTTCGACATAACGAATCTGTGATTTATCGCATTAAAAATACAAAAAAAGGTTCTTCTAAATCTATTATGTGTAATCGATAGTATTAAAAATGGGCAAATTTTCACATAAATAGGCTATTTTGCAGAATTCAAGGTTTCGAGGCTGCCATTGATAGCATTAAAATTAATTTATCATTTCATATATTCATTTAGTTCATATCATTTTACATTCATTTTTCTCTACAAAATTCTGATCTCTTAATTTCTTGCATTCCCTGGTGGTGTTACGCATTAATTTATTTTCTATCTGCTTTTTTACGCTCAACGTGTTTCCATATGTATCTATTATACATAAAAATATCACAATAATGCTAATAATAATTTTTTATCTTATAGTGGTTGCACCAACGCCAAAAGGAAACAGTATGCGATTTGCACCTAATCTAACAGCGACACACCGGCCAGAGACAGCCTAAATCGGCCCTACCGCCTTCGGTCATTAGTGCACGTTTAGCGCAGTCGGTTAGGGCACCGCGCGCTGGCACGAAACACCCTGGTTCGGCACCCAGCAGTGTCCAATGGGAGCAATGAGGATAAACTTGAACCATGCGAAACACTAATGCGCGAAATTTGGTTCTGAGCCCTCGGTTTTTGTTGGGCTCCTTTTCCGTTTTTTTATCAGATTTAGCTCTTTGATAGCATGATAGATTTTCCCAGTTGAACGCTCCGCTTCCAGATCAATTTTGTGGATTTTATGCAAATTAGCCGCCTAAGGAATCCAGAAAAATCTTTAGACAGGCAAGAAGTCGACGTCGCAGTTCCCGCCGCACAGGATGATGGCCACGTTTTTGTCCTGAATTTTCGGGATGTAAATTTGGCCTTTTCCGAGTTTGAAAAAGCGCTGGAAAGCTCAAAATGCTAATTTTAGTGTTATAAACCGAGTTTGAGAGTTAGAATCTCAAATTTTCGGGTTTTAAAGGAGTTTGGAAGGCAGAGAAGCAAGATGCTAAGGGTTTAAAAGAAAAGCAGGAAAAAGAAAAGCTACAGTACTACGACCGGCGTATTTTTTTTGTTCCCTACCTGTAGTTTGAAGCCTTCTGAACGAGCCATCTTCAAAAGGCCGGCCAAAGGGACGCCAGCCGTTGGTTCTACTCGTTGCTGAAAATGTATTTTGTAGTTTGGAGCTCTGGTTTCTTAGCTTACCTTTAAACGAGTCCAAATCAGCGTCACGGCCTCTTTGATTTGCTCTTCCGTCTATAGCAGAGGATTTTCTTACGTTCTACCATTAATGCGTACCACAGAGATGATCGATTCCCGGCAATACCTCTGGAGCACCGGAAATGGGCCGTCTCCCACGCGGAGCACTCGAATCCCATCAGCTACCGTATTTAACGAGTCGATATCTTCACGAAGGTGGCCGCCATCAAGGTATCTTTGCAGGCCTTTGCCCTCTGGCTCCACAAGGTATACTGTAATGGGCGGGATGGGTGAGGTCACGCTCAACGACTGTCTAGGCTAAGCCAACGCCTAAGCCGAGCCTAAACCTAAGTCTCGCCCAAGCGTAAACCTAAGCCAAGCCCAAGCTAAGCCCAAGCCTAAGCCTACCCAAGCCGAAGCCTTAGCTTAACTAAGCCTAAGCCTAAACCTAAGCCTAAAACCTAATCCTAAGCTAAGCCAAGCCAAACCCTACTAACCTGCAATTTCCGGCTTCGTCTGCTTGATGTAGGCCGCCACCCCGGAAGCCAGTCCACCCCCACCAACAGCCAAAAACACGGCATCCAGCTCCGGCAGCTGTTCCAGCATCTCGACGGCTATGGTACCCTAGAGTACGATATTGTCACCATCCCTTTAACTGCCGTACCTGCCCGGCCATGATTATGTGATCATCGAACGGGGGGACGATTGTACGGTTGAGATCTTTTGCAACCTTGTTGCTAGTTTCTACTCTGAAATGGTGATTACTTAGTAGCTTTGGAGCACCAGAAACGAAGCTTAAGCCTAAGCCTAAGCCCAAGCGAAGCCTAAGCCCAAGCCACACATGCGTGGCTTTCTCAACCCACCGACTCTTCATCGTCGGCTCGCACAGCACAATCTCGGCCCCATAAGCCCGCATTCCTTCTAGCTAAAGAAAAAAAACCCAGGTATTTTGAGATTACAGTATACCTTGGATGGGGGCGCATTTTTTGGGACGACGACGGTACATGGGATACCGGCTGCCTTGGCTGCGTAAGACAGACCCTGGCCGTGATTGCCCGAGGAATGGGTTACCTGCAACGGGTTTATACGCCGAAGCCTAAGCAAAGCCTACCTAAGCCTAACCCCAAGCCTAAGCAAAGCCTACCTACGCTTAAGCCCAAGCCCAAGCAGAAGCCTAAAGCCTAAGCCTAACCTAAGCCCAAGCTAAGCCTAGCCTAAGCCGAAGCCTAAGCTTAAACCTAGGCCTACATAAGCCTGCCTAAGCCGAAGCCCAAGCCGAAGCCCAGCCCCAAGCCTAGACCTAAGCCTGAGCCTAAGCTTAGGCCTAAGCCAAGTCTAAGCCTAAGTCTAAATCTAAACCTAAGCATAAACAAAGCCTATATAAGCCTAAGCCTAAGTCTAAGTCTAAGCCTAAGCTGAAGCTTGACCTAATCCTAAGCCTAAGCTTAGGCCTAAACCTAAGCCTAAGCCTGAGCTTAAGTTTAAACCTAAGCCTGAGCCTAATCCTACGTGAAGCCTAAGTCTCGTCTAAATCCCTTACCACTCCACTGGTCTGCCCGTTTTCCACCAATATCTGCACGGCATTACAAGCACCGCGTGCCTTGAACGAGCCGGTTTTCTGAAAAAAGATTTTGGGGGTGTAATTTTGATTTTTTGATTTTGATCAATTAGATAAATTGGAAAACAGCGAAAAAATAAAAATTACGTTAAAACGCCTACCTGCAAGTGCTCGGCCTTAAAAAACAGCCGACACTTTCCGAGGGCATTCAAATTTTCCGAGGTGAAAATTGGCGTATTTTTCACGTAGGGGCGAATCTGGAAGACGAAGAAGTAGAGGTGGATTTTTAGGTTAATTTTGCTTATTTTTGAATTTAGTTTAGTTAAAAGTAGAACTAACTCTTAATTTATTGAATTTTGTATTCTTTTAACTTTCAATTTTTTAACTTTAAATCAGCTATACAAGATTAAAATTAAATTTAAAAAATTACCCTTTCTGCTGCGGCCAGGATATGCTTGGCCCCAAAGTCTGTAGCCGCCATTTTTACTGCCGGAAAATGATGTACTTTCCGGTTTTTTTCGCCGAATAACTGGGAGTCGAAAAATCGATAGCCGGCTGGCGTGTCTTATCGCGGTTCGCAGAGAAAATACCAATCTTTGATCGAATTTTTATGGCAAAACCCAGAAAAAACGAAGCGAAACCCGTAGCAAAAATCACAATAAAAATGGCTGACACCAGCGAAAAACGAATAAAACAGAGCGAAAAACACTAATCACACAAAAATATAGCAATACCAAGTTTCTGGGCACAAAGCAAAAACTTTTACAGCGGTAGGAGTCGAACCCGGGTGATGTGGATGGTAAATTGGAAAATTGCCATTTAGCCACCAACTCCTGATAAAATTTTAGCGTTTTTTGCCTTCACAATCCCTTTAAAGCCCGTTCCGCCTCAAAATGGCGTGCAGCCTCAAGTAGGGCGCATCTAGGTGCCAATTTCCGTATGCTAATCGAAGTGCTTTGCGCAGGCAGCGAGTGATGGAATAGAAGAGCCGGTAGTTTTCGCCCTCCTCGACGTAGAGACTGAAAAAAGAGGTGTATCTCAAGTCCTTCAAAGTATCTCTGTTACCCTTCCCCAACCACTAAAATCCCTCAAAGAGTCTCTGCTAGCCTGCCCATAACCCAAAAATTCCTCAAAAATCTCTGCTAGCCTTCCCCAAACCCAAAATTCCTCAAAGAATCTTTGTTGGCCTGCTTCTAATTTCCCAATTTCACAAAGAATCTTTGTTAGCCTGCCACAATCTCTCAATTTCTAAAGAATTTCTGCTAGCATGCCCCAAACCCAAAAATTCCTCAAAGAATCTCTGCTAGCTTGCCCCAGACCCGAAAACTCCACAAAGGATCTCTGCTAGCCTGCCATTGGGTTTTAATCACCAAATACCCACCTCATCGCTAACGCCACCTGCTTACTGCCCATCATTTTGTTCAGATTTTCACGCAGCTCTCCCCAGACTACGGTATTCAGATCAATCAATAGCAGATCGGTTACGGTAGCTGGATTCAGCTCCGAGGGGCTCCTAAAAATTTTCAGACGTATTTAGGACCGTGATGCTCACCTCAGATTCCTGATTGTAGATGTGGGTTTCACCACTTCCGGAAAATCGGAGAGCGTCAGGTTTTTGGTGCTAAATTCGAGATTTCAAGGAAATTAGAGCCTGAGCATAAGCCTAAGCCCAAGCCTAAGCCTAAGCCTCAGCCTAGTCAGCTTAAGCTCACCCAATATACACGATGTCATAGTAGCTGGGTTGTAACGTTGAGCAAAAAGTGAATTTCTGAGCTACGGTAGAGGAGAGGGGACAATCGGGTTGCGGTTTATGTAGAGAGAGCATGAAGCGCATTTTTTCTTCGGTAGGAGAGCCTGAAAATGGGATTTTTAAGTTGGGGGAGAGGCAGCTTTCTCTCTCTCTCTCTCTCTCTCTCTCTCTCTCCACTTACCAAGCCCAAAAGCCGGCGCCAGGGCATCGGAGCACTTCTCGAAGCGCTCGAACGAGAGGCCAAACGTGCAGAATTTGCTCGGTTCCATGCAGAAGCCACTGAAAAATTGGATTAGCCGAAGCCTAAGCCTAGACCAAAGCCAAGCCTAAGGCGAAGCTAAGCCTGGAACAAAGGTAAGCCTAAGCCTAAGCATAAGCATAAAGCCTAAGCATAAAGCTAAACCAAAGCTAAGCCTAAGCCTAAACAATGTGACACTCACTTTGTCGATGCACCAATAAGGCCATATGAGTCACGGTAGAAAGACGTAAGTATCCATTGTCGGTAGTCGTTCACCGACTCGAGCCCGTTCTTTGGTAGTTGAACACTGACCAAGATCGTCTCGGCTTTTGCCAGCTGAAATTGGAATTAAAGGGGTGGCGACAGACACATTATGCGACGGATTCTCTCAAATAGCTGCATGTACTTTAAATAGATTTCTAGGTACCTTCATAATGCGCCCAAGCGTTTGGGGAATTGTCGAAGCGTTGAAATGACGAGCCGTAGCGGCGTGTAGCTCCAAGTTCAGCAGGATAGCGTCAAAAGGTTCGCGGTGTAGCCCGTCCATTCCGTCAACATCCCATTCCTTCCACCATTCCACTTCCATCAGATAGTTCACCTCGACGTCGCCTTCAAGGGGTGGTGACATGACGAAATAACCGCGACGCGACCGCGACGCAGGCCAAGAATCGATTTTTTTACAGGCAAGGTGACATCGCTTTTTTAAGGGAATCGACGCGACCGCTTCCCGCGTTTTTAAGTTTTATTCCCCTACCATCAATCATGTCGATAGCCGCATGCCCTAGGGGCACACAGATCGTCCATTTCGTGCAGTTCAGCAGCGGAATAAGACCGTCTAATCGATCGGTACCGGAAATCAGCAGACATCGCCTAAAAATTAAATAAATTGATGAGCAATCCGGTATAAAAATGGGCATGTTTGTACAATCTTAAAAGTTTAGTTTTTAAGTGTATAAGTGTATAGCGCGCACATTTTCGGGCGGGGGGGGGGGGGGCCCCGTGCCCCTTCCCCCCGGGGCCCCCCCCCTGCGCTCCCAGTATGGATTGGGCCGAGTTAAATTGGGGGGTTGAACCTACTGGCAAACGAGGGCCGGCCCCGGGATTTGAAAGTATTGGAGTAAAACCGAAAAGTTCTTGGGGCGAAAGCGACTTTTTAGTGGGCGGCAATTACATGTCGTAATGCCATGTAAGGCGCCCAATCTCTCGATATCCTGTCGTATCTCGTGATTATCTGGGTAAGTTTCATAATTAAAACGGCTAGAAGTAATGAAAATTCGGTGGGGATTCCAGAAAATTCATGAAAATTATAAAAAGAAAAAAAATCGAAAACGGGGGGCTCAGGCCAAAGCATTTTCGCGCATTAATTGTTACGCACCAAACCGATTCTTCATCATCGCCCCCCTCTGTCACTCCCGGGGTTTGAACCCGGACCTTTTGGTGCATGGCAGCAGCGCCCTAACCGACTGCGCCAAACGCGCACCAATGACTGGCCCCCAATAGAACTCTTATCCCCCGTCCCGATGCCCTGCGCTCCAGAAGGAAATTTGGCAATTTAAACGCTATTTTATAAGCTTTTGCTCTGAAATTTTTATCCTAGATGCGAAAAGCGGAAAAGCACCTGCATCCAAAATTCTAGGCCCAAATTTTGTAAACCAAAAAATCTATTTGCAAAATTAGGTACAAGAGTTGCTTCTTGTTTACAGGAATCGGCAGAAAAGCTAAAATGGAGGCTCAGCCTATACTCTTGTTTTCGCGCATTATGGTTTAGGATGATCTGCAAAGGTCATCATTGCCCCCATAGCCCACAGCCGGGGCTCGAACCCGGGTGGTTCTCGCATGGCGCGCGGGGACCGGTAACCGACTGCGCCAAACATGCAGCAGGGGTGGGGGCCGGTGGGGCAACTATCCCCCAGCCTCCCAGTGGTACTGAACTTAGAAAGTCAATTTATTCTTTACATTTCATTATTTTGGGCTGTAATTAAAACTCATTTTTGATGCTCTATCAAATGGTGTATTCAAAATCCCGACAAAATAGCGAAAATTGCGATTTTCGGAAATTTTGGCTGGGGGTAAAGAAAGTGTGTTACGTTCGAAATTCATATAAAAAGAAGCAAAACTAGAAAATCGTAGAATAACTCAAAAAGGGGGGCTCAGGCATGGCTTTTTTCGCGCATTAATTGTTTCGCCCAAGGATGGCACGCACTACCATTCGTTCATCATCGCTACCCCCTATCACTTCCCCCGGGTTTTGAACCCGGGTGCTGCGGGCCATAGAGCGGGCGCCCTAACCACCTGCGCCAAACGCGCACCAATGGCCGGATCCGGTAGGGCCCTTATCCCCCGTCCTGATGCCCTGGACTCCAGAAGGAAATTGGGCAATTTCTATGCTATTTTTCAATGATTTGCTCTGAAATTTTTATCATAGACGCGAAAAGCGAAAAGCTATATGTGCCCAAAATTCTAGGCCGAAATTTTGTAAAGCAAGAAAGTTATTGCCAAAATAAGGTAGTGTTAAGGACGTCCTCTACCCTCGCATTTCATTTATTTAATTTTTAATAAACTATATTAATTTTTAAAAACCTACTTTTCACCTCCTTTCACTCCCCGATCGCATTGATGATAGACAAGTCCCTTCGAGCTGGCCGGCGGCTTCACGTGGGGGCATTTTATAGGAGTAGAAGCTGCAGGAGTTCCAAAAATATGAAGGTAACTACACAAAATTACCCAAAAGCTCATTAAAAACGGCACGGGCGGCCGATTCGGAGGTGAGCCTCGGCGGATGTTCGATATCGACGTCCGTCCAATTCAGTCGCGTGATGTTTGGCTTGTTTTGGATCCTAGAATTTATCAAATTCAGTGACTTTTTAAATCTGTAAATCGCTTAGGCGCTAATTCATCATCTCCGATTTTAAAATGTGGCATGAACCTGAGATAAAAGTTTTATAGTTTGAAGAGCTTTAAAATTCGATGATTTTCACAAGCGAAAACACTAAAAATTGTTAAAAACTTGCTTTATCAAAATTTCCCAATTTAGAGTATAAAACGTACAGAAAACCCCCTTGATTTTTACCGGAAGCCGATTCTAATCTCTCTGAAACTTTTCCATTACGCCATGAAAATATGTATCGTTTGTAGCCGATTCTGAGCTAAAAAGGGAAAAGCAAAGATCTAAAAACGGAAGCTATTGTTCTAACAATAAGTTTAATTTAAAAAAGCTTTTAAGATCCTTGATTTAGCATAAACTATTAATTTTTAGAGGTACTTAAAACTCACCTGTGATAAGCTTCCGAGTAAGAGGTGTAGAGACGGTGGAGGAGCAGAGAAAGCAGAGAAATAAAGACGATTCGAAGAAGGCAAAGCCCATTATGACAGCGAGGCATTATTTTGCATATTAGTTGTAGCTAGGGATTCGAGAGAGAGTAATGCAGTAGAAATCGATACTCTCAAGGTGGGGGGCGGTGTTTTTTGGGGGTAGCGATGACCTTGTTTGGGAGTAGAATGGAGGCAAAGAGGAGGGATCTTACCTAGGGATATAGAAAGTAGGCATAAGCAAGCCTAAGGTAAGCCTAAGCCTAAGCCTAAGTCTAAGCCTAAGCCAAGCCTGAGCCTAAGCCAAGCCTAAACCCAAGCCTAAGCCTATGTCAAGCCGAGGCCGAAGCCTAAGCCGAACCAAAGCTGAAGCTAAAGCCGAACCGAAGCCGGAGCCGGAGCCGAAGCTGGAGCCGAACCGAAGCCGAAGCCGAAGCCTAGGCCAAATCTAACCTAAGCCCAAGCCTAAGTCAAGCCGAAGCCGAAGCCGAAGGCAAAGCCTAAAGCCAAGTCTAAACCTAAGCCTAAGCCTAAGCAACAGTCTAAGCCAGAGTCTAAGCCTATGGAGCCTAAGCCAAATTCAGAAGTTTGGGCGCTGCTGTGTAAAAAGGACTGCAGCGTAGGCCGGAAGGAGCTTACTTAAATTCGATATTCGAAAATTTAGAATCCGCTCGTCACATCCATCATCACAATGCCAATATCGGAAATGAGCCTCCTTTTGGATTAAAATATTGTGAATAAAATATATAAAAAATGAACCGATGAAAAGATCTAAAAACTAAAGCAAGCTTATAGAAAATCGATACCTTTAGAAACGCGGCGACTGGACGATCATCACAATGGAATGGACCGGGGGATTAATCTTTTGGATTAATGTGGCGAGAATATATAAAAAGCCGGTAGTCAGGTCAAAATATAACTACAAAAATCAGCTCTGCTTGAATTGATACTAGCTGCTAGTTGTCAGTTTAACCTATTAAAGATATAACTTTCCAAAACCGCATCGCGGTTTTCCCTAACGCGCCTTCGTTTGGCTAAATGGTAAAGCTGTCGGCTTCCGCCCGCACGACCCGGGTTCGAGTCCCGACCTCTGCCGGATTTTTTTGCTTTTTTTGCGGTTACCTTCGGAATACGTGTTTTCATGGAAAATTACTTCCAGCGTGTTGAAGGGGCCCGGAAGCCATGGTTCAATTTACCCCCCCCCCCCCAGCCGGCCCCCACCCACTGAATCTCGTCTCAACACCCCGTTGTCGTAGGAACATGTAAAGTATACCAAAATACTCGCCAGAGCAAAACGAACATTTTGGTATACCTTTCACACCTGTAGCTCAACAGGAAGCCCAGATACAAAATTTTGGGGGGGCGGCTAGGGGAGAACTGAACTCTTACCGCCCGCGCTCATTTCAGACCATGCGGTTGGAGACGTTGATTTTGGCCATCGGGATGCTCGCCGTCACTACGGCCTTCCCTGGAGGTATGCGTCAATGGGTTACCGTGGCTAGGGCAAGGATTAATAAACTTGAAAACCTGCACGCCCCTATCACCATTTTTCGGGCTGCCTTCAGCTAACCGGATTCTCAGACAAGTTGAGTGCGACCGCTCTCAGAAATGCTGTCGTCGCCGTGGTGTAGTGGTCCGCATCCGAGGCTAACACGCCGAACATCGAGGGTTCGAACCCCGCGCGCGCAAACTGTTTTTGCTTTTTGCCCAAAACTATCTGCTTCCCAGACCGACGCGCTCGACGCCCTCGCTGGGGTAATATGACGACGGATCAGGTGGCTGAATTCAAAAAGGTACCAGCTTGCGAAAGGTCAGCTTAAATTTTTCTGTAGTCTCTGCGCCGAACGAACGTCGACCGCTTCCACAGCGCCCTGGAGCGATTGCGTGAATCGGCGAGGGGCTCACAGAGTGACAGCGAGATTAAGAAATATAATGAACGTATCAAGGTACTGTTATCTACGGCTTTTAACTAATTAATTTTTCAGAAAATCGGACAGAGGACGCTCTCAGAATCGGCGCGGAAGCTTGAAAAAGATTTGGTGGAAGTGAATGCGGATCTTGGGGTGGCTGAGAATTTGTATGGGGGAGATATGGTGTTGACTGAGTAAGTGATGAGAGAGAAGAGAGAGAGAGTCCGTGAGAGAGCGTGAGAGAGATAGTGAGAGGTAGCGCGAGTGAGAGAGAGCGTGAGAGAGAGGAGAGATAAGGGAGAGAGTGAGAGTGAGAGAGAGAAAGAGAGACCGAGAGAGCATGAGAGAGAAAGAGTGAGGGAGAGAGCGAACGAGAGAGCGAGCGGCATAGCGAGAGAGAAGGGGGGGCGAAGGGAGAGAGGGAATGAGAGAGAATGGGAGAGGTGGTAAGAGCGGGGAGCGTAAGAAGAGAGAGAGAGAGAGAGAGAGAGAGAGAGCGAAAGAGAGAGAGAGAGAGAGGGAGGCGGGCGAGAGCGTCAGAGTGAGTGAGGGAGATAGGAAGCGAGAGAGAGCGTGAGTGAGGAGTGATGAGGGAGAGATTGAGAGTGAGAGAGAGTGAGCGAGAGCGAGAGAGAGAGATGGAGAGAGAGCGGGAGAGATTCCAAATTTTTTTCAGTGAGCAAGTTGACCATTTTCTTGGTGATTTTGTGGATGACACGTCGACGCAAACAACGGATTCTGGTGAGTGCGCGTACATGGGGGTGAACTTTTGCATAATGGTTGAGTTTGCGCCCAAACCTCTGTGAAAAGTTTAAAAGTGCCATGAACTACGTTTTGTTTTGTATTGCTATGTAGTCAGTTCCCTGACGGTTGATGCCAGATGGTTTCCAGAGGCGATCCGTGGGAAACGTCAGGCCGTGAAAGGATCGAAACTCTGGGCCAACAACACCGTCTACTACCAGTTCGACTCATCCCTACCGGCCGATGCACAGACGGGAGCCCGGTTGGCAATCGCCTTCTGGGGCAACATGACATGTGTCGATTTTGTGGAGAGCGCTACCGCAAAGTGGGTTGAAAGGTCATTTGTGAGATTCGATAGAGCGTCCAAAAACATACTAAGATAATCAAAAAATCAGCCCGAAAACGAAAAAATGTGGAGTTAGATAGCGCGTTTTGCTCGGAAAAACATGGGCTTCCAGATCAGGTGCGTTGCATCTCAAAGAAGGCTAAATTCTAGGAAACACCCCACCCCCAGCCACAACTTTTCAGACAGACGTCCTATTAATGCGTGGAGCATCTCAAGTCTCTCAGTAGATTTGAATCGAAAAAAATAGCGAAAAAGAAAATATTTTAGTTTGAAACCGGTAGTACATTTTATTTTTATTTTTTTTTATTCTGCGGCGGGCCCCGCCACGAGGTAAAAAAAGAGACTTGAGGCATGGCGACTTAATCTTTCACATTTTAACTTGTAAAAAGTTTTCTAGCAATTTTTGGCGTCAGGAAACAACTCCCTGGTAGGAATTCGACCACGGCAAAAATTTCATTTTCAGATTCACCACGCATTAATAGGAGGTATGGCTGAAAAGTGGGGCTGGGGTCTACCGATTTGCCTAGCCCATAAAATGGTTTTCTAGGAATCGTATCCGTTTCTACGAAGGTAGCGGCTGTTGGTCGGGGTTGGGCATGGTCGGAGGGGTGCAAGATCTCTCCCTCGGCTATGGATGTCATTCGGTAGTTTTCTAGGCCTGTAAAGACGCACAAAGAGTTGTATAGTTCCGAACGGCGGCCCACGAGATTGGTCATGCACTCGGCTTCCAGCACACCCATTCGAGGGAGGACCGCGATACGGCAATTAGTGTCTTACCCGCAAACATTGACAACGGATGGGCTCCGTCGTTTGAAAAGGTATATGACGAAAAGGGTAGGCTACGTTTCAGTTTACCTCTCCCCCCCAAAGTCCAGCCCCTCAGCCATAAGTCCTATTAATGCGCCGAGTAAGCCAAAATGTCCGCCGTGATCCAATTACCATAAAAAACTGTTTCCTTGCGACAAAAATTGCTGCACATTTTTTACAAGCTTTTGAAAGACGAAAAGATTAAGCCGCTATGCTTCAATGTACGAGGAGTCTAAAATCCCAATATTTTCATTTTCCGCTATTTTTTCGACTCGGGCGCACTGTAGGCTGATTCTACAGGGCAACAGCTACATTTTGGTATCCTTGCCAGGTCTGTAAGTCTAAAGACAACCGAGATACGAAAACTCACTTTGGACCAGCGAAAATTAATTAAAGAAAGCCCAGACTTATAATTGTTATAAAAGTTTTCCTAACAATTTTTGATGTAAGGGGACAACTTATTTATAGTAACTCGATCGCGATAACAGGATGACGCTGATTTTACGCTTTTTTTGAGTAATCGTTGATTATCGAGTGCCGGCTAAAAAATTTTGTAAAACGAAAAACGCTTGTTTTCTCGCTTTTTCGAGAGCCTTCGAATGGTGCAAAAAACATCCTGATCCCCCCTCGTCCTCGGATCGCTAGAGTGGGGGTCTATTTTTCTTGGGACTCCCTGTATTTAGGCAGCAGCGGGTACAATCTACAACTACGGGATGCCATACGACTACGGTAGCGTGATGCACTACGGTCCGTACGATGTTTCGTGGAATAAGCAACCGACTATGGTAGCAAAGGTATATTTGATTGAATATTATATACGTAGTAAGCACCAGGGTTGACAAAGATTACGAAAATCAATTACGGCGTGTCCCGAAGAAAGCACCCGTTCGGTATTTTGGGTTGCAATACGGCCAGATGCCGGAGGGACACCCTTAGGCAACAAAAATATGCAATATTCCAGGTAGCCCCCTATCAAGAAAATATGGGATCAGCCGTTGTCTCTTTCTACGACGTTTCGATGATGAACGAGCATTACAGCTGTAAAGGTATGGCAAAGGTATTGGCTAACTGGTAGTGCGCTCGCTCCCCACCCGCATCGGATTGCCCCCCGCCCCTCCCCAGGTCAGAAGAGGCCTTTCCCACCGTCTGTTCCCATCTGCCTTGTGGCGTAGTGGAGCGGCGCCCGGCCTACCACACGCAAAATCGTAGGTTCGGATCCAGGGAGCATTTTGTCTTTTTTTGCTTTTTGGGAGTTCAGCAACAAAACATATTTCTAGGCTTTCCGTGAGCGAGGTTTAGGCCTGGCCCTCACTCTGGCGCGGCAGGCCAAAGAAAAGTTCATTGACCCAGGCTCTCGCACGGCAACGAAATCCGGGAGAGAAATCGGTAGCCGGCGCCGCAGAATCAAAGATTGTGGCGCAACACTGGCTCTGGCGCCGCATGCCAAAGAATGGGGGCTTGAGTCAGGCTCTTGCGCCGCAGGCTTCAAAAAAGGAAGGGCATTCCCGGACCCTCGCAGGGTCCAGTGGAAAAGCGCCGCGAAGCTGTCTTTTTCCAATGTTTTCCCAAGGTATACAACCTTAAATTGCAGCCAAGTGCACCTGCGGGGCAACCTGCTGTAATGGGGGCTTCAGAAACTCGAGGAATTGCAACACTTGCATCTGTCCCTACGGATGGGCGGGGCCCACCTGCAATCAGAGGGTACTGTAACAACCCCATTTTAAATGTCGTAATCAATTTAGTCACCCGGCTGCGGTGCCGATCTCACCGCCACCGCAACAACACAAGAGCAAGTTATGTCGGTGGGGAAAGCAGACTGGGTGCTGATGCCATCATTCGCCACTTGTGTCTATCATATTAAGGTAAGAAAAAAAGGTATTACAGAGACATCTATTCCCAATCTCCCGCTAACAGTCCAGCGCACCTTTTAGGCCCCGGCCGGGATGAAGGTGGAATTGACGATGAACAACCTGGTCAACGTTCAATGCATTAATGGGTGTTATTTCACGGGGATTGAGGTGAAAGCCACGAAGGATCATCGCTACACTGGTATCAGGTACGGCTGGCTAACAGAGTTCGAAAAGCAGGCTCGCCTCTCTCTCTCTCTCTCTCTCTCTCTCTCGCTCTCGGCCACCTTTAGTCTTACAGAGCTATCAATGGCACCAAAATGTGGCTCTTGCTCCGTAGAATTAGCCTACAGTAGATTTTAATCGAAAAATAACGAAGAAGAATCTTTGAGCAGGCCAAATTTTCAGATCGTGCTGCGGCGAGGACAACGGCAAGACGATCGTTTCCGAGGGCAATATTGTCCCAGTCATAATCTTCAGTCGACTCGGAACGTTTGGCGTCACGTTGCGCTACAAAGCCGGTAGCTATATCAACATTCAGCACGGGAAAACGGGCCCATTTAGTCTCGGCCGCCACCGCGTCGACCGTCGTCGCGAGCCAGATTGCCGACTCGCGCCCGACTTATTGACCAAAATGCATCCAAGTGATGTAATAAAGCATATTAAAAAAGGCTCCCGCAACCATTCCCGAAAAAAAGCAAAAAACATTCCCACGGGCCGGGGTCGAACCAGCACCGTGTGGGGTGGCAAGCATGAGCTTTACCACTCGGCCAAGGGAAACGCGGCGCGGTGACAAATATACGGTAATTTCGGGTAGGTTTTTCGTATTTTTTGCAGAGATGCTGATGGTATCGTGTCATTACGAGATCAAGAGCTATCTTTCCTACAACTTGCGAAACTTCTTGTTTTCTTTTGTGGATTTTATTCGTTTTAAGCTCCAATATTTGTTTTTTATTCTTTCCTCTTACAACTAGCAAAGACCGCACGAAAAACATCGAACAAACCAGCCTAAGCCCAAGCCTAAGCCTAACCTAAGCCAAGCCTAACCCAAGCCAATCCTAACCTAAGCCAAGCCTAATCCTAGCCCAAGCCAAGCCTAGCCTAAGCCAAAACCTAAGCCTAAACCACTATTTTTTGTTGTTTAATTTGACGTATAAAATACACTCGAACCATTTATTTTTGACACATAATTTGCGATATAATTGTTGCGGTTGCCGAATTGCTACACAAAAATACATCAAAATATACCAAATACAGTATGCTTTTGTGGAAATATTGGGGGCAACCCGTTGCTGAGGGGATCACGCGCATTAACGAGACGATAAAGATATTGATTTTCCGGGAAATGGTATTATTTTAGGGGTTGAAAAACCGAAAAAGATATGACAAACATGTGCGCATTCCTTTTTGACTAGCAGCTTCGCGGATTTGGCCAAAAATCACAAGACTATACATCAAAAAAAAGGTAATCAATCGATACGTCCAGAAAATGATGATTTTGGGGTGGGAATGTACGAGGAGAATATTGTGATTAAAACCGTAATAAATGGGCATAGAATTAATAAACCAATACAGAAGGAAATGCGAATAGAGTCGGGCCCGCCTGACTTGCTGGTCCCTTTAAAATGGATTGACCAATTGTTGGCGGAAACGTTCACTTTTTCTGATTTGGGAGCGAACTTCGGAACCTCTAGGGTCAAAAGGGCGGCTCCCTTTCCCACCAGTGTTGTCCGTTTGGTCTATTGGTAAAGCTCTCGCCTCTCACCCACAGGGCGCGAGTTCGAACCCCTCCCGCCGAGATCTTTTTGCTTTTTGCCCAAACCAGTAAAGGTGAACGCTTCCGTCTTTTCTTAAGGCAACAACATCTACTCGGCAATATTTTCATTGGCTTTAAAGATGCGGCGACGTCTCTGGGCCAAAGCCGACGCGTTGACGTCGCAGAGGGCGACTTGCGGCGTGCTGCCGAGGGCCCGGTACGTCTGCTCCAGTTGGTTCTGAAGTTTGAGTTTTTGGAGAAGCTGGTTAAAGAAGGATTCCTTTTGAAAAGCTATGAAATGCTAGAATTCCGGTGCTAATTTCAGAAAAAAACATGATTGGGTAAATTTGCCATTTTTCGACTAAAATGTTTGTTTTTTGAATTATTTTCCTGTAAGATTTTGAGTGTCTAGAGTTTGTAGCCATGCGCAACTACTGTAAAAATTTCAAGCGGATTTAATAGAAGACCAGAGAATTAAGATGATTTTTGGGCTAGACCTTACTACCTCCCAATCCGGGACTCCCTAATTTTTCGACATTTTGACAATTTTGTCGGGATTCTTGCTCTGCAATTCGATAGAGCAGCAAAAGATATACTAAGATTTTGAATTGCAGCTCAAAATATTGTAAAATAAAAAAGTTATAACGAAAAACTTTTGGGAACATTTGGCTGGGGTGGGTAAAGTAAAACTTTTACCGATTTTTGTATACCCAGCGGTATACAAAAATCGTTCATTATTGCCTAAATACCTTGATATGATTCATATCCATAAGGTTGACGGCCGGGGCTTGGGGCAGCGAGTGCCGCTGGGTGATCCAGGGATGTGTGGCGATCTGGTGGGCTCGGAAACGGCGGCCCGGGTCGAGAGTCAACATCCGGCGCACCAGGTCCTAAAGATTTAGGTATTTACGTTCTTTACATTACTTTGGGCCTATAAGAGAGTGCTGTATTTTTGGCCGTGCACAAACCTTTGCAGAATCGGACACGCAATCCCACTGCGGGCCGTCCATCGAGAATTTTCCTTGGCCAACTCGTTTGAGGATTTGTTGTGGTGTGTCCATGGGTCCCGTGGAGAAGGGGGTTGTGCCTGAAAAGTGGGAGTTGGTCAAGCTTATGCTAAGCCTAAGCCTAAGCCTAAGCCAAGCCTAAGCCGAAGCCTAAGCATCAACCTAAGCCGAACCAATGTTTAAACGAAGCCTCAGCAAAACCTAAGCCTAAACCTAAGCCTAAACCTAAGCCTAAGCCTGAGCCTAAGCCTCAGCAAAAAATAAGCCTAAACCTAAGCCTATGCTTAAGCCTAGGGCTAAGCCCAAGCCTAAGCCTAAGCCTTAACCTAAGCCTCTTCCCAAGCTAATGTCTCACCTGACAGCATTGCATACAACAGCACACCCAGTGACCAGATGTCACACGACCTATCATACCCCTGCTTCTTCAACACCTCGGGGGCCACCTGAAAAATGTGGTAAACACTTGCTACGGTATCTACTTACAAATTGTGCAGTGTAGCATGGTGTCATAAGCATGCCATTCTCTGCCCGGCTTTGCTTGGCGAAGCCGAAGTCGATGATGCGCAGCGAGTCGATTTCGCCCTTTTCGCTAGCGAACATGATGTTTGCCGGTTTCAGGTCACGATGAGCCACCTGAGAATGGGGGTTTTAAAGGAAGTGTGACAGGTTTTTAGAGCTGTCCCGGTTCTGTTTCTCTCTATCTCGCTCTCTCTCCCTTTCTCGCTCTATCTCTCTCTCTCCCTCTCTCTCTCTCTCTCTCTCTCTCTCTCTCTCTCTCTCGCTCTTTAGCATTTCTTACCTGATTTGAATGTAGATATTGGACAGCATTCGCCAGGGCGCACATAATTTGGGCGGCTTCCCTTTCGGTCACTCGATTCAGCCGGTTCATAATCTCACCACCACTAAAGAATAGAATTTGTATATATCTCTCCCTCCCTCTCTCCCCCTCTCTCTCTCACTCTGTCTCTCTCCCTCTCCCTCTCTCTCTCTGTCTCTCTCTCTCTTTCTCTGTCACTAAAACTCACCGGCAATATTCCAACACCAAATATACGATAGCCTCATCCTCAAACACATCATATAGCTTGACGATGTGAGCATGAGCCCCGTAGCGCAACAAAATGTCGACCTCCTCGGCGGCGTCGTGCTCGGCTTTGCGGATCATCTGCAGAGATTCGCATACAGATAGATAGATCTAGCATACCTTAACGGCAAATTCCTTCTTGGTGTTCTTCAGTGTGCAGCGCTTCACAACGGCATAGGTGCCACGGTTTAGTTCCTAAAAGCGTTGATGTTTGACCTTAAGCTTAGGCTTAGGCTTCGGATTTGGCTTAAGCTTCAGCTCAGCTAAAATTTTTTTTAATTTTTGTTTTTTCGCACGTGATTCCCTTAAAATACTTCCGCTTCTTTTTCTCCTCAACCTCAACGAACCGAGCTTCAAAATACACACACGCTCTTTTCGGGGCCCACTCATAACCTTGAGGACCATTGGCAAACATGGCCCAGCAAAACGAGTTCTTTGCTCATCTCCTGGGCATCGAAAACCTGGAGCAAAATTCGTTTCACAATTGCCAGAGGCCGTTCTTCCGCAAAGATCTCTGCTAGCCCACCCCAATCCCTCTAATTCCACACAGAATGTTTGCTAGCCTGCCTTTAGGATTTTCAGGCAAAAATCACCTCGTGAACATCGTACTCCTCGGAGAAGGGGGTCGTCTTCGCGTTGCGGATCGTCGACTTTTTGATGCCATCCTAAAATTTTCATGTTTGAAAAATGGTTATGATTTTGTCTTACGGAGCCCTTTAAAGAGAGAGAGAGAGAGAGAGAGAGAGAGAGAGAGAGCGAGAGAGAGCGAGAGAGAGGCCTAAGCTCAATCTCTGCAGAGGATCCGCAAAGCTGAGCACGACGCTGCCGAGGAGTTAGCGTTGGAGTATTGCCGGTAAGTTTTAGCGAGAAAGAGAGGGAGAGAGAGAGAGAGAGACAGACAGACAGACCTATCATTTCTTGCCTGTACCTTCATCTCCCCAATCACCAACGGCGATACAAACGAGAATCCCCTGAACAGCTCGTGGGCGGCGGCCGACGGCGGCAAGGCTGGCGAGTCCCGGGGCGTCTTCTTGGTGAATTCCGGGTCAAAATACAGCGTGATGTCATTTGTCGTGACGGCTGGCTTGAACGGGGGTGTGTTCTGAAAAAAATCCGAAATGCTCTCTGCCAGTCCCCCATACCTCCTTCCTCAACAACTTTGCCCAGTCGATCGACGCGAAGAAGGTGTGCTTCTTGAGCTCGCCGGCACCTTCTGGCCCGGCGCCAAGTCTAGACAAAATAAGCGATTCCGCGGCTGTACAAATTGCACACACCTGTTGGCGGCGTTTCGCTTGAAGAGGGAGCGGAGGAGTGATTGAGCATCGGGGGAGAGGAAGTGGGGCATCGTTAGTTTGGCCCTGAAAATGAAGGTTAATCAAAATTCCGCAAAGAATCTCTGCTAGCCTGCCCCTCCAATCATTCAAATTCCACAAAGAATCCCTGCTAGCATGCCTCAAACTCCTAAATTCCTCAAAGAATCTTTGCTAGCCTGCCTCAAACCCTTAAATTCCTCAAAGACGCTCTGCTGGCTTGCCTCAAGTAAATTCCGCAAAGACTCTGTGCTAGCCTGCCCAAACCCATCAATTCCTCAAAGAATCTTTGCTAGCCTGCCTCAAACCCTTAAATTCCTCAAAGAATCGCTGCTAGCTTACCCGAAATCCTTAGATTCCTCAAAGAATCTCTGCAAGCCTGCCCCAAGCCTTTAAATTTCTCAAAGAATCTCTGCTAGCTGCTCCAAACCCTGAAATTCCTCAACCCACTTCAATATCTGTTGCATCGTATCTTTCCGATCCACTCCAGTAAACGGCAATCGTCCCGTCAGCATTTCGTACTAAATTTTGGTTGCAAAATACTAATTTTAGGGCACCATCAACACTCCGAGAGACCAAAAATCGGCGGCGCATGTGTGGCCACGCCTCGTGATCACTTCCGGGGCCATATATTCGATGGTGCCGCAGAAGCTGTACGTCTTCTGGTCGCCATCCACTGATTCTTTGCTCAGGCCAAAGTCTGTAACTTTTAGATGGCCGTCGGCGTCGAGGAGGATGCTGTAAAAGAATGGGTAGAGAGAGAGAGACAGAGAGGAAAGAGAGAGACAGAGAGAGAAAAAGAGAGAGAGGAGAGAGAGGGAGAGAGAGCGAAAAAGCGTGACGACTTACTTTTCCGGCTTCAAATCTCTATAAACAATCCCCAGCGAGTGTAGATGTTCCAAGGCGAGCACCAGCTCAGCCAGGTAGAACTTCACGTCTTCCTCGGTGAACATTATCTGGAAAAATATTGTAGTTTAGAGGTTCTAGTTTGTATCGAATCTTCTCTCTTTCTCTCTCTTGCTCTGCTTCCATCTAGCGCTTCTGTCTCTCTGCCTCCGGCTTGTTTTCTTTAGCTCTCTCCCTCTCTCTCTCGCCCACTCTCGCTCTCTCTCCCTTTCTAACATAAATCCTCACCTCCTTCGACAGTCGCGTAAACAAATCACCACCTCGTAAAAAGTCCAAAATCAAGTACAGCTTGCCCTCGGTTTGAAAGGCTAAAATCCTTAGATTAGATCAGTAAAATATGCGCCACATACCGTAGTGCAATTTGACGATGAATGGGTGGGAGATGTGGGCCAGAATGTTTCGCTCAACTTTTGTCCGCATCCGGTCACGCACTTTCAGCGTCGCCTTTTTCAGCACCTAAAAATCGGTGATGATGATTGTCTGGGGTCAAAGCTAAGCCTTGGCCGAAGCCGAAGCCTGTGCTTAGCCTAAGCTAAGCTTAAGCTAAGCCGAAACCTAAGACAACACCACAATCGTATAGAGTAAAAAACGTACTTTCATGGCGTACACCTGTCCCGTGTCATTGCCGCGTACTTTGCGCACGAGAAAAACCTTTCCAAACGATCCTTGCCCAAGCACCTAAATTTTACAGGTTATAAAACGAAAGAGAGAGAAAGAGAGAGCGAGAGAGAGAGCGAGAGCGAATGAGAGAGAGAGAGCGACAGAGCAGCTACAAACCTTAAGCAGTTCGAACTGTTTGGCGTCGGCCTTCTCGCTGCCCTTCAACGCATTGCCGAGGTCGATTTCGGCCAGCCCTTCGCCCTGAAAAATTCAATGAAATTTGCATTTTTAAGTAGACTTGTTCTTTTTCTATAATTTTACAATTGCTGCACTTTTTTCCTTCTAGAATTTGACTTGCCGGTCCCTATAAAATTGCAAAGTAGCCCATTTTTACCCGGAAATCGTTGAGGCTGGGTTGGGTCTCGGGATAATGAGATTTCGGGGTCCGGGAATACGTTGCCCGAGCCGTAAGAATGCAACTAACGGAACCCTGTGCGGTAGTACACGTTCTTTATCTCTCTCTCACCACTCACTCACTCACTCTCTCTCTCTCTCTCTCTGGCCCTCTCTCCCTCACTTATTAATGGCTTTTGTGACGTCAAAAAGGGGGCGGCTGGGGGGGTCTATTAAGGGTTTGGCTTTTCCTTGCGTCAACAATACTCCCCAATTCAGCCCCTCGGGGCGGCTTGAATTCCTAAAAAGTGCCCCCGAGTAGAGGCCCCCTTTTGAATGGGATCTAAATTGGTGGTTTCTTCAAAAGATGCCGCAATGATCTTAAGAACCATTTTTGTGTCACTTAAATTTTTCACCGTTGCTGATCCATAACTAACAAAATTCATAAGCCTTAAACGCCCCTTTAAAGCAACATTCACGTCTCAATTTTGTGAAATCGGTCCACGCTATAGCAGGGGCTGCTCCCTGAACCATCGTTTGGGCCCCTTGGGTGAAGAGGGCCTGCCCTGTCTCGATCCTGTCAGCCTGTTGGCCGAATGGTTTTATGTTCGCTTGCCGCGCACAAGGCCCGGGTTCGACACCCCCCGGCCGCGACGAGGTTTTTTGCTTTTTCATAAAAAGGCTGAGAGTTGGATGTTTCTTTAAAGGGATGCCGACGGCATAGCCAATCGGTTACGCGCGGAAAATAAAATGTCTCTGTGCCTCTCCCCTGGGCGCGCTCTCTCCCCTGTTGGCTACTTGCCAATTCGTTGATGAGGGGGGATCGACACATGCCGTCGGCAGCCCTTTAAAGGCACCAGGAAGGCAAGGAAAATGGCAGAATCCACAGTACCCACAGCTCCCCTCACTTGCCAGTCCCTTTAAAGCCCCGGCCAAACCTTGATGGCTCCCATCGGCGTTCTCATCAAAAAAAGCTGGCGTGTGTTCCACAGGGCTCCTCTGTACACGTCTCTCCCGGGCCTCCTAATTGGCGGGTTCGCGGTTGGAAATAGAAAACAAAAGAGAGAGAGAGTGAGAGAGAGAGAGAGAGAGAGAGAGAGACGAGAATAGAAATTGCCGGCCTCCTCCGGCGGCGTCATCCAATTAAAACGCGGGGCTGTGGAAATGGATGAATGGAAGGTAGAGGCAAAATTTTTCGGATTCCGTACTTTCAAGTTATCAATCTAGAAATTTAATAGGAGGCAAAATCAGTAAAAAAAAAGATAAAACTGTCTCACTCCCTTTAAAGGTACCGGGAAGTCGCAAAAAATCGACAGGGGGGTTTTAAAGGGAGAGTGACAGTTAGCGTCTGGTTGAAAATCGGAGAATTACCCACATAAGGAGGCCAAAATCAATCGAATACGGTGCACTTTAAGGTACCGAATTCTGCGAATAACATTATGTAATCAGATGGGAATCCCCTTGTCTCAGAAATCTCCCGAAAATTACGGCCAAACAGCACACAGCATCGACACGAAAGGGCACACGGCTGAGGCGAGTATTCTGTCTCAGTTCGAGTATTTCGAGTATAGGGCTTCCTGTTTGTGGCAGAGAGAGAGAGAGAGAGAGAGAGAGACGAAAGAGAGAGAAGAGAGAGAGAGAGAGAGAGAGAGAGAGAGAGAGAGAGAGAGAGAGAGAGACAGAGGGATAGAGAGAGATTGGACAGGGTGAAGAGTTACTCACGCACATGGCCAATAGTGGCCCTCAAAGAGGGGGTAAATAGAACGCTATTTTAAGGGAGGGTGTCGATTGGAGCATGGCGGAATGGTTTGGATACATTCTTAGGAGAAAAAGCCAAGTCTAAGCCAAGCCTAAGCCTAAGCCTAAACCTAAGCTCTGAGCCTAAGTCTAAGCCTAAGCTTATCCAGCAAAGCTGCACCTCTATTTTTGCCGTTCCTCAAAAATCAGCTGCCCCCGACTGCTGACGCCCACCGAAATTGGAGCTGATGTGGGGAAAATCTTTAAAAACTTGGGCGCAACGTCGCCAAGAAAGGGGCGGCGCTATTTTGACGGGGTCCCAAGAAACTGGAGGAGTTCCTCATCAGCAAGGGGTTCAAAAAATAGGACTGAATAAATCCACAGAAATAGGCGTGCTAGCAGAGATTCTTTGAGGAATGGAGAAGCAGGCTAGCAGAGATTCTTTGAGGACTTGGAGCAGGCAGGCTAGCAGAGATTCTTTGAGGAATTGGAGGGGCAGGCTAGCAGAGATTTCTGGAGAAATTGAGGCAGGCTAGCAGAGATTCTTTAGAGAATTTAGGACTTTCCAGACGACGTCAACCCAACTGGAAGCCGACTGGGGGCGACCCAAAAATACTGGATGAAAGCTTTCGGGGGTCTCCCGTTCGGCTTCTGGGGCGGGCCCTTTTCCCCCTTCCCCCTCATCTGGGTCCCCCCTTTTTGGCGGAGAAGCCGACGTCATCGCATCTGAATTGAGAGGGACGGCGAAAAGGAACACACGCATCACTAAGCAGCCTCCCAAAAACCCCCACTCCCACACTTGCAAATGGCTTCCGCGATGTCATTGTTTCGATCAAAACGGGTATGACGATCTCGGTCTCTCTATCGGGCTATCTGTCTCTCTCTCTCTCGCTCTATCTCTCTCACTCTCTGTCTCTCTCTTTCTCTCGCTCAAACACCCATATATCGTTCTCTATCTCTAGCTATCTCTCGCACACCCTATCACGTTCTCTCACCTAATTCTCTCTCACTCTCTGTCTCACTCCCTCCCTCGCCCCATCATTCTCTCTCTCTCTCTCTCTCTCTCTCTCTCTCTCTCCCTTTCTCAATCCCTCTATCTCAAAAATAATTCCCCAAGCTTCTCTGCAAGATTACCCCCCAAAGCCCCCAGACCAGAGACTTAATGAGCCCGACTCAATGGATAATTTCCGGGCAGAAAATGACGGAAAAAGAGAGATCTCATTTGAAAGTGGCCCCCGGGATGGCATTTCGAGGAGAGAGAGAGAGAGAGAGAGAAGCGCATCCTCATATTTTCCAGTGGCTCCTCTTCTCCAGGGTCCGCAAAATAGGATCTTGCCGGAGGGGAGAGTAAACAATTCTGGCCTCAATTTTGGATATCGAAAGTATGGCCCATAACTTGAAATAGAAATCGAGTGAGCGCATTGAGCAAGGTGAGCTAGCAGAGATTCTTTGAGGAATTTGAGGAATTGAAGGGGCAAGCTAGCAGAGATTCTTTGGGAAGAAATTCCCGGCAATGTTAAAAACTACCAAAATGGGCCCTTTTACGTCAAAATACGGAAATTCCCATGAAAACGACCCCATAAAACACGGGCGTCATGCACATAAAGTGAGATTTTTCGACGAGCGAGATTTTTGAGAATGAACAGTGGAGGGGGGATTTATTGAAAAAGGATTGAAAAACACGTGCTTGGGGACAAATTGCCACAATGCTGAGTGCCCACCACCGGAAGCCGATCACTCACTGTCTCTCTCACTCTCACTCTCTCTCCCGATCTATCGCTTTGTTGTATTCCCCATCATGGCCTACGGGACTTGGTGGGGGGCAATTAAATCAGGATTTGCGGAATTTTCCGCCCGGCTACTGCGAACACCCACGCGCCCGACGAGGGGGGGTCGATAGCGCAAAAGTATACTTTTCAGGGGTTTTAAAGGGAGCGGGACCGTGTCTCGAATATAGCACATTTTAAACCGGTTAAAACCAATAAAAAGTAAATAAAAAATTCAGACGAACCTGTGAATTCTGGCCGGCAACGTCGTCGCCGTTCGCTTCGTAGCAGGCCATCTGAAAAGGAATCTCTTTTATTCCATATTTTTTTGGTAAATCTCGGTCCTCAAAGATCTCTGCTAGTCTGCCCAAGAAGTTTATTGCTGTCGCAAAGGATTTCTGCTAGCTTGCCCGGCGGATTTAACAGTGTTAAAGCATTTTTCCTCCAGAATTTTTGCTATTTTTTGTCTTTGCCTCGCGCTTAGGTATCCTAAAGAATCTCCGCTAGCTTGCCTAGCGAATTTCGCCGTTTTAAGAACCTTTTCCTACATGATCCCTGCTAGCTCGCCTTGCTGATTTTGTCAAGAACAACCGATAAAATCCCCAATGCTCTCTGCCAGCTTACGCGGTTCTTTGACATTATCGGGGGGGCGGGGTTACACTTATGATAGTAAAAATGGTTTAGAAGCGAATCCCTATTCACCTGCCCCCCCGGATAATTCCAAAGAGCCGCTTGCCCTGACCCAAGTAGCGCTTCGTCAATGACCCATGCTAGCATGCCTGGGTCCTTCTTCCCCCTCAGAAACCCACCAATCGTTTTAGTGAAGCCAACAAATAGGAAAATGTACTCGGCTGGCCACAGATCATTTTTCACGATTTTTAAGGAATTGAGAAGTATTTAGAAACTCATAAATATTTCTAGTATTTTCTGAGTATCATACGGTAGCTAGTGAAGAAATGTCAGTGGTTCCAGGCGCCGCCAGGTTCCACGACGCTCCAATGGACGCAAAATCGGAGACGGATCGGTGTGTGTTTGCCCCCCTGGGGGTTATTGTATAAGTATTGAAAGGCGGGTTAGGGACACGACCCTTTTTGTAGAGAATACCCCCCAAACCTGTGCGCGCGCAGATCTTTGGAATCTTGCGTCCGGACAGACCGGAGCGTTGCGGAAAAATATCCCGAAAATAGTGCCGCAGCGCCTAAAAATTGCAGAAACTGTCAGCTGGAGCCAACTGGAAATGGGGGCATGCAAATAGTGGCCGGTTTTCAAGCGTTTTTAGTGGCAAGGGATCGAAAGAATGGTAGAAATGGCAAGTAATCACTGCTAGCTGGCCCGGAGGCTAAGTAAGAGTAAGAAGCAAAAAGTTCATGTGGATGGGACTCGAACCCTTGACCCTACGTCCGTGGCCTAGCGCCTTGCCGACTGCGCCAAGGGTTGGAGCGCTGGGTTAGTTTAAAAAGCTGCGATTGCTGCTATTTTGAATTATTCTAATTCAATGGCATTAATCGGTAAGTTAAGCCTAGACTTAAGCATAGAGCTAAGCCCAAGCTCGAACTTGAAGTGACTATAACTTTCCGGGAGGAAGAAGCTGGCTAAGCCTGACCTATCACGTTTGAAAAAGCATCAAAAACTCCAACTGATCGAACTTAAAAGCAAAATGGTAGCAACAGTTAGAGTTAGAAGCCTACGCCTAGCCTAAGCCTAAGCCTAAGTCTAAGCGAAGCCGAAGCCTAAACCCAAGCCTAGGCTTGACCTAGGTCTATTGTAAGCGAAGCATGACCTAAGCCTAAGCAAGGCCTAATCTAAGCCTAACTTAAGACAAGTCTAAACTTTTGGCCTAAGCCGAATCCTAGGCTAAGCCCAAGCCCAGGGCCAAGCCCAAGCCCAATCCACGCTTAAGACTAAGCCGAAGCTTAACCCTAAGCCTAACCTAATCCTAAGCCCGACCTAACCCGAAGCGAAACCTAAGCCTGAGCCCGCCTAATCCTAAGCCAAGCCCAATTCTAAGCTAAGCCCAAGCCCAAGCCCTTCACCTTACCATAGCCCCGGAAGGCGTCGTCGCGCGGTTGCCTATATTTCCGGTGTGTCCCGCCACGGGGTCAGATCCGGCCGGGGTTCGGAATCAAATTAAAATGGTTAGAGCCGAAAGAGGATGAGGGAGAATCGCAAAAGGCAGAATAGGAGCCGTCGGGTGGTGGCCCGGGTCTCGCTCCCATCAGAAAATATTTGCCGGCGCCCCGGCAGCTGCCCAAATTTGACGGTGGCCGGGAAGAGGGGCAAGTTGCGTGTTGGAAATGAGGGGTTGAAGGGAGGAGGGCATGGCACACGTGTGTGCCGATCGGGCCACGCAGCGCACAAAAGCAGGCCCACAGCCATTATTCTACCATTTTTGAGGGGGGTGGGGGACCATATTTGCTCATAGGAATCGTCTGGAACGGGACCCGGGGATACCCATTCGAATCGCTCGGTTTTAAAGGGACGCGCAAGCTATCGGATACATTAAATTGTAATTAGTTTTTTAAAGCATAGCAAATATAAAATTTTAATTTTACCAAACCTAAATAAATGTTAGCAGCGAGAGAATGCGAGAGGCGGAGAAAAGAGCAAGAGAGTGAGAGAGAAAGAAGAGTCAGAGACAGAAAGAGAGAGATAGAGAGTAGCGAGAGAGAGTGAGAGTGAGAGAGATAGAGAGAGCGAGAGAGAGACCGAGCAAGGCAGAGAAAGAGCGAGAGAGAAAGAGAGACAAAGAAAGGCAGCGAGAGAGAGAGAGAGGGAGAGAGAGAGTGAGAAAATCTCTAACCAGAACCAACATATATCTATTTATGTATATCTTATCAAATTCGCATACTGAGCACCTCTCATAAACGGCAAGCTAGCAGAGATACACGAGGAAATCCAGCAATTTTTAACAGAAAAATTTTATCTTATTTTTCCAGGCTTTAGCGTACCCATAAAGAAGAAAGCGTACCGACTTGTGCCCCGGATACGGGGACACGTTTTCTAGATGGACGGGCAGAGGCTCGCGGAATGGGTCGCCGAGTGGAGCGAGTGGCATCTTTGTTGCTCGGCTGGGATCGAGGAGGAGCAGGACGAGAAGGAGGAAGAGATGGCCGATGAGAAGAAAGCTCCTTCCTCAACGCTTTGTCGCTCCTTTTTGCTCTACAAGTGTTTTTATGGGTGTTTAGAGGAAAGTAGCGTACACGAGAGGGATGGAAAAGGCGCAAAATTAAAAAAGAAAGCGATTTGCGGGAAAATTATCTAGGCATTAGCATACAATTAATACTTTTAAAATATAGTACATAACTGAAACTTTCAAACTTTGTACAAGATCAAGCAAAAAGATAAAAAACCTTTCTTTCTGCGTTTCTTGGCCAAAATCGGGATTTTACCTCGTCAAAAATCATAAATGAACACTTTAAAACCCTAAAAAGAAAATTGAAACTTACAACTATGTACAAGATACGGCTAGAAATATAAAATTTGTTTCTTCCTTCGTTTCCACACGAAAATCGAGATTTCACCTCATCAAAAACCTTAAATCTACCCTGAAAATGTGGGAAAATATTGGAAACCCATATTGCCAGCAGCTGCCACCTGCGCTCCTGAGAAAAACGTGCAAATTTCCACTTCCTAACCCGAATATAAAAAAATTAAATGACCCACAGGCTTGCACCTTGAAAACCTGGAATTTTCTTCCAATCCCGGCTGGCTATTTGCCCAAAAAAGGCGAAAAACCGATCGTGAATCGTCGTGAGCCGGGAAACCCGAAAAGAATCCGCCGGGCACGATTCGCGCCTACGAAAAAAAACAAAAGGCAAACAATTCGTAATCCGCCGCGGAAACGCCCGGCCGATGATAGCGCCCCGAGTCCCGAATTCATGACCGTGCATCGAAAATCGTTATTTCCAGAGCAAAAGGCAAGAGCTGTGGCTGCTGGCATTGTGCCGGGGTATTCGGAAGGCGAGGGGGAAAGCCCTTGAAGACGTCGAAATGACCGAGCCACAGAGGGAAACGATGGGAAAACCGAGCCACGGGGTGGTGCTCGCATTACAGCGCTTCTCCTGGAGGGCTTTGTTGTGTTGTACGAGCAAAATGGTTATGAAAAAGCATGGTTGGGATACGGATAAGCTAAATAAATTTATCTGAACTTAGATAGTTGCTAAAATTGTGAAAATACTACACGGTCTTTCAGAGCGCGCGCGGGAGGGGTGGTCGGGGCGTGGTGTAGTGGTCTAAGGCGGCGGTTCAGCCCCGAGACAGGGGACGCGGGTTCGGTTCCCGGGTTCGCAGGCCTCCGCATTTTCGTTTTGCTTTTTTGCGGAAAATGTCCCTAATGGAATGTCATGACTCTAGACGAATCAGGAAGCATCCTATCACTTTCTTTCGCGCAAAATGGACGAAGAAAAACAGCGGACTCACGCATATATCCAAACCGACCTCTGTTAAAATCACAACGCTACGACATTCGAAAACTGATTGCGGCAGATAGAGCGAAGTTTGTTCTGTGTTCCTAGCTTTCAAGCAGATTCCAGAACAGCCAGTAAAAAGTATTCTAGCCAGTTGAAAATTTTAACTAACTTTCTATTGAAGCCTGATGTAGATGTCAAGGTGATGCGATTTTGCACTTTTTCGGATAGTTGCTAGCCTATAATTTATCAAAAAATGCAATTGAGGCGCTATGGACAAACATTTAGCTTCCCTATGATGCCCGTTGTCTTAGGTACCTCATTTTTTTCAACTTCAAACCGACCGGGCGCCCGATTGCCGTGTACGATTTTCAGGAAACCTGGACCAAAAGATAGAGCAGAAGCTGTTCTATTTTTCTGTACACTCAAGTAGATCATGAAATCTTCTCAGAAAAAAGTTATAGCCAGTTGAAAGTGGAAAAGATAGCACCCCTTAGCTTAACAATGCATTACGCGAGGGGTATTGGAGCGCCCCGTAGCCTAGCCCCCTCGCCCCCTCTCGTGCGCGTTTTTATTAAAGGATGAATCGTAGTGACTAGTTTCAGATCAGTAGGTAAAGAAACAGGCGCTTACGAGGGCCATTCCATTCAGATAAATAAAATCTCTAAGAATAGCTCAAAATATTTATAGAGATCTTATGCGTATATTTTGGAACAACAGCTGTCTCAGAAAGGCTAGAAATCGACAGGTGAAATTGAAAAAGGGTTTCAAAACGCGCGCTTTAAATTTAAAAACAAAAATGGATCCAAAAATGGAAAGTCCTAAATAAGAACAAAACAGCTCTAGAAACGCTGTTGGATTAAAAATCTCCCGGATTTTAAATATCGCTGCTCCTCCCTTTAATTTTAGTATAAAAACACGATTAAAACGGCTAAATGAATTAACAGAAGTGACTAATATGACCCCGGATTTCCATATATCGTTATTTTACTCTATAAATTAGCGAAAAACACGACAAATGTGTCTAAAACAATACCCGAAAATGAGAAAATTTTCGAAATGGCCGTAATTCCATTAAAACCCGGTTTAGCCCTACTACTAGCCATCCCCCTAAAAGGTGCCCGGCCAAAGAATGGTAACCCGACTCTTGCGGGGAGGAGGAGTCCGTCGAAAATTACGGGCACACCCCGCGAAGCCCATCGTTTAGCCTCGAAAATTGCAGAGCACGCGCGCCGCGGGGGGCTCAACCAATTTTCGGCTCTTCCCTCCCCCGGCTCATCGAACCACGCAAAAATGGGGCCAAAATTTTAATTAAAGTAGCCCCCGGTGGTGGAGGTGGATGAGGGTGAGGGGTTGTGTTTAGCCCGGAGGAATGGGCCGGGGTCCTTGCAAAAAAAATAATAGTTATTCAGTTAATGGACAGGCGAATGGGTGCTCGGGGACCTAAATTATTGGGGGTGAAGGGTGATTGCCTAGGGGTCCAGGAGGTGGCCAAACGGTTTTATTGCTCTTTTTGTCAACTTTTTGAGGGCCTAACAAGCTCGCTAAGATCCAAATGGAGGTGCAATAACGTTTAGAATCTTCGAAGAAGCTTCGATTATGCAAAAGACAATCAAAATTGGTGCTTGTCGGGGGCGGGGTTCATAAAAATACTTTTTTTTGGGCAGAAATTCATGCAAAATAGGAAAAAGTTTAATAATTTCCTCAGAATCAAACTTTATATTACTAAAAAAACCCCATAAAACGCTACACTATATAACGGGCCTGGTAAGCGGAAAAGTCCGAATTAGCCCCCCCCCCGTTAAACGAGAAGTACCCCGAAATTGATCTAAAGCTATAATCTAAAAATTACCATGACTCATTAGCACTAATCTGGCGGAACTCTAAAAATAAAACACACAAAATCAGCAAGACAAGCTCTAGAAACTAGAGTGGCGCTTATTCAAATCAAATCGGCTTCAAATTGATTTGATTTGAATTGGCAAATTTGAGTGCTAAAAAATCAACTTCAAATCAAATCGATTTGATTTGAATTAGGGGCTGGCCAACTCAAATCAAATCGATTTGATTTGGGATTTGAACAACAGGCTTATCTGGGATGCAAATTGAAAATCAGCGGTTCGGAGGGTTTTTGGTAACGCCGTTTCTGCACATTTAGGTGTCCTTTACCATAATTCATGGGGCGCATTGATGTTCTTGATATAAAATTGAGCCAGACAGTTCTATTTGTCAGATTTAGCCTGCGCTATCGTTTTTCTTTGGAAAAGCTAAAGGGTAAAAACAATAGGAAATGTATAAGGAATCGTTAACTGGGACGCTGGAACAATGCTAAGAGATTATAGGGAAAAGAGCGGTGCACGAATTACGAGTTGCGTTGGGTTCATTTCGATGAGATCTTATTCAAATTATTCAAATCGGCTGGATTTGATTTGAACTGGTGGAACTCAAATCAAATCGATTTGATTTGATTTGATCGGCTCCAATTCAAATCAAATCGGCTTGATTTGAATAATTTGAATCTTATTCAAATCTGATTTGAATAAGCGCCACTCTACTAGAAACTGCTCAGATTTCATAACAGTAATTACAAACCTTTTAAAGGTCAATGGGGCCGATACAGCAGTAATTTACCGGAAATTGAAAGCATCACCCCCAAAATTAGCACCCCCAGGTGGCCGGCGTTGCCCTTTCAGGTTTAGATGCAAGCATAAAAAACGGCTGCCCAGATGAGATGCGCGTGCGTGTGAGTGTGTGTAGAAAGGGGTGCAGGCGGTGCGAGAGGAGGGCGATGTTCGAGGAGGAAGCGGACCGGAGAGAGAGCCAAGCCAGGAGGGCCCTCGGCGGGCCGTCATCCCGCAATCGATTCCGGCTGCGTCATTCCGGCTCGCCGGCGCTGAAATCGTCATTCACGCCGCGCCGTTGGCCACCCAACCTTTGCCGCGCCAAAAAAGGCCCCTGGCCGCCTCGCTTTGATTGTTATTGCACACGGCGATTCACCAAATGGTTCGGCGCCTCGGCGGAACAAAAAAATCCGCCTCCAACCCGTGGGAAGAACACGGCGAGTTACGGGCGTCATTCGAAAAGTTTTGAATGGGGATGCACGAATACATGTGCCACCAGATTATCTTGTTTGTTTCACTACAAAGTTGTAATGCGTACCCAGACGACTTCGAAGCTAAAAACGTGCTAAATAAGCTAAAATGAAAGATTCTGCACACGGCCACTGTTTTTTAAAAATCCTCCGGTTTAATAAATCCATTTATCGGAATGAACCTCACTTTCCCGTAGCACACTGGTAGCTGTAAATGTACAAAAGGAATACGGCAGAAAACATAGAAATTAAGTGAACGCTGCAAAACACAGATTGGGTCGGGAGCGGGGGGAATGTAGGAAAGACACAATACAGAATCAATTGCGGGCAGCTGTAGGGGGAGATGTGGCTTAGAATTCGTCGTTGCCGGGGATGTCAAACTTGTTGGTGAACTTCTCGACCTCGTCGGCGATGGTGGCGATCTCCTTTTGGAAGTCGGTGCTTGAGGCGGTGAATTCCTGAAGAGAAAATGGTAGTGGAAAAGAGACAAAGCTAACCTTGAGGTCCTTCAGCGTCTTGCCACTCTGGTCCTTGTACTTCTGCAGAACCTTGATCACTGAGAAAAGAAATGTGCTAAATAAAGAATTACTAAGCTACCTTTATCGATAAAGTTAGCGACTTCGGCGAAATCGGCCTCCTTGAAGCCGCGGGAAGTGAGGGCCGGCGTGCCGAGGCGGATTCCACCGGGACGGAGCGCCGATACGTCGCCAGGGCATGTGTTCTAAAACAAGGATTTTATGTTTCGAATCTCGCGACAAACCTTATTGCAGGCAATATGGGCCATGTCGAGGGCGTGCTCGGCCTTGGCGCCATCAAGTCCAATGGGGCGCAGGTCCACGAGGCACAGATGGTTGTCGGTTCCACCTGGGGGTGAAATGGCATTACAACCGACATCCGCAAAGTCATACCGGTCGCCAGGGTGTAGCCGAGCTCTTGCAGGCGCTTCGAGAGGGCTTGGGCGTTGGCCAGCACCTGCTTGGAGTAGTCGACAAATTCGTTGGTGAGACATTGGCCCAGGGCGACGGCGATACCTGAAAATGAAAGATTAATTGAGGTAGAAAAAGACCGCTAAAAACATTAGACAAAAACTAAAAATTTTGTTAGAATGGCATAGACAAGAAATTCCCCCCGCTAACAGCTCAGTACGCAAAAACTACCGGAAATGGTGTGATTGTGCGGGCCGCCTTGGAGTCCGGGGAATACCGTCTGGGTGATACGATCGTGCAGGTCGTACATCACCTTATCGCCCTTAGCGTTCACCGATTTGACACCTAAAATATCAAGAGTCCAGAGAGCAAGCAAAGACCGTCATACCCTTGCGATAGAAGATCAAAGCACCACGGGGGCCACGCAGCGACTTATGGGTGGTCGTGGTCACGATATCCGAGTACTAAAAGCGATCCTGTACATACTAAAAATGCCATTTTACCTCGAATGGAGATGGTGTCACGCCGGCGGCCACCAGCCCAGAAATGTGCGCCATGTCCGACATCAGATACGCTCCGCACTAAAAATGGTATAGGATTAACAAAAAACAAATACCTTGTCGGCAATCTTCTTGAAACGAGCATAGTCCAGGTTACGAGCATAGCAGGACATGCCTAAATCACAAAATCAAAAAATATTAAAATTTAGCTCACCGGCAACAATGATTTTCGGGCGGAAGAGCATCGCGTTTTCTTCCAGCTTCTCGTAGTCGAGCAAGCCGGTCTTTGGGCAAACCTAAAAAAAAAAAAAATTTGCAACAAAAATAAATCTCTCCAACCTTGTAGGGCATCGATTCGAAGAAGATGGACGTGGCGGACACTTTGCGCGTCGGGGTGAAGAAGCCGTGGGTGAGATGGCCGCCATCGGGCAGATCGAGCCCCATAATACGCCCGTGTGGCTCGGCAATAGCGGCGTAGACGGTGAAGTTGGCCGGCGATCCGGACAGCGGCTGCACGTTCACGCCCCACTGCTCCGGGTCCAGGCCGAACACTTGAAGGGCGCGCTTCTGGCAGAGGAGCTCCATCTTGTCGATGAACTCGTTGCCGCCGTAGTACCTAAAAATTTCAATAACCCAAGTTTAATAAAACCACCCACCTAGCGCCCGGATATCCCTCAGAATACTTGTTCGTCATTGACGACGACAACGCATCGCAGACGGCCTAAAAACGGTAAAATGTCGAACAATTTGGATTCACCTTTGTCGTGAAATTCTCAGAAGCGATCAGCTCCAAGCCGCGGCGCTGGCGCTTCTTCTCGTCTTTCATGATCGCGAACGCCTCCGGATCGACGGCAGAAACCGGATCCTTCAGCAGATCCTTGCCCTGAAAAGGGACACATAGTTTTCATAAAAACAAAAATTCATTTCATAGATAAGAAAGATAAATCTTACCTGGTACTTGACGCGATCGACGGCGACGAGCGGGGTGTGGGCCTTGTCGTTCGACATTGTCAGGGAGATGGCCTGAAAAAGAGGAATAGTGAAAAACCAGAAATGGCAAAATAATAGAAAACTAAACAAACTACAACAAGAACAAACGCAGAGCATTCTTAGAAATGGAAAAGGTCTCGCAGTTCGCGGGTTCCATGTTTTTTAAGCTAGTTTTGTAGAATAGTGAACTCTCTGCCAAACTATGAAAGAATACATAGTAGATAGTACGTCAAAGAACGATTTTCAAGCCTACTTAACTCTAACTACTCATTACAAAAAGCATTCTAACCGAGCGGAATTTGCTAACCGCTCCATTCTCAACCACTTTTAATCTCACTTTTAGCTAAGAACAAGCCGAGCCCCGCTGACCAACCAAATAAATAGCAGCGCGCAAAGTGGGACAATAACCTGTACGGTCATGTTGTGGGCTGACCCTGAGAGGCGCCACCTTCCTTTACTGGAGATGAGGGGGTCGAGATAACGCGATTGCGAAGAGGAATCGCCATAGAGGAACTGCCCCTCTAAACCAAGGGCGATAAAACGATGGCCATGGGATCGCGTGTTTTTGCTTGGTGCTGCAGCGGATGTCCTACACGTTTGAAAGTGGAGCGTAGGCGCTGGTAAACCGGTATTTTCAACGCGGGGCCCTTGGGGGTTTGATTGATAAGTCGTTGTTGATACGAATAAAAGTAAAGATCTATAGGAAATGGTAAGAAAATGTCGTTAATTGATTAAACACTAAAAATAATTACTTTTTAGGTTAAAAAATGGAATAATCTGAAAAATAACCATCGAAAACAGAAATTGTAGTTTGTAAGAATAAAATAAAACTACGTCACACTACTATCGACGCTCAAAAACCAAACGGATCGTAACGGAAAACCAGAAAAAGAAAATCAAAATAAAACAAAATTAATGTAAAAAATCATAAAAAGGTTAGAGTGCAGTTTACCCCCCCCCCAGCCCTAACTTTTCAGCCATACGTCCTATTAATGCTCCGAGTATCTAAAAATGTTCGCCGTGGTCGAATTACTATAAAAAAGTTGTTTTCCTGCGGCAAAAATTGCTAAAAATTTTTTTTACAAGATTTTGAAAGTTGAAAAGATTAAGCCGCTATGCTTCGATGTACTAGGAGTCTAAAACTCAAATATTTTTATTTTCCGCTATTTTTTTCGACTCAAACGTACTGTAGGCTTATTCTCCAGAGCAAGAGCTACATCTTGGTACTATTGACAGCTCTGTACGTCAAAAGATAGCCGAGATACGAAAACTCACTTTGGAACAGCAAAAATTAACTAAAGAAAACCCAGACTTATAATTGTTATAAAATTTTTTCTAACAATTTTTGATGTAAGAAAACAACTTTTTTATAGTAATTCGACCACTGCGAACATTTTGAGATACTCGGCGCATTAATAGGACGTATGGCTGAAAAGTTAGGGCTGGGGGGGGGGGGGGTAAACTGCACTTAAGCCCATAAAAATAACTTTAAAAACTTTAAAACGACTAACCCGCCGTTGGGCAACGAGCGCTCCGGTGGCCCTGCGCATTGTGGTGGCGTGACGGGGGCGTTTGGCGGGGAATCGGGGGCAATGTTAGGCACAACCCAGGAGTAGACACCGGCTTGTCCTTTGCCCTGAAAAATGGATGGGTCAAAGCAGCGGAAAGCACCAGGCAACAACTGACCACACGGGAGGTGAGCGGAGATAGTAATGGGAGAGGGGAAGAGGCAAAGATTGGCATGTTAAATGGTAAACATTTTAACGTTGTTGTCAGAAGAAAGTGTATATATTCTTTAAAGCAAGAAAAAATAGTAATACTTAAATTTAGGGCTATAAAACAACGGGTATTATCACTTTTTAATTGATATCGCGTGAGTCTGCACCGATATTAGGCCGGCGATTGATCTGCGCTTGGAGGTGATAAGGGAAAATTGCCATTTCCCCCCTCAATAGCCCATTGTTCTTTGATCTATTCCGTGCTTTTCGTAGTTTACAGTATTTTATGACTCCAGATGCTTTACAGAACGAATTTATTGAAGAAAGCGTAGAATTCAAGCAATTCTTGCGTCGGCTTTTCGTAGGGTTCAGTAGCGCGTATCTGTAATGAACAAAAATCTATAAATCTGAAGATGTTTCGAGATTTCTATTTGTGTCCCACCTACCGTATGTCCCCTTGGCATTGCAGTAGGGTACTTCGCGAGGCCAGTCGCACACCGTCTTCTCGGGATTCCAGACGGTCCCGGCGCCGCATGGCATTAGTTGCCAGCCGTAGGGTGCGCACTTTAATGGGTATGATTAATGCGAACAGGACAATTAAAGTCAAGTAAAGAGCATATAACCCTCTGTATATAGTAAGTCTAAAGTTCATTATTTTTAAGCTTCGGCTTGGGATTACAAGGAGACGTTTTTTGGTGTCGTCCGGACTTTTGGATGGGACCAAACCTATCTTGTGCAGGATTTTGCGCTGATTCCGAATATGGTGACTGTTTTTGCGGAATAGCCTATTCTCGAAAGTTATCAGCGATTGAAGGCGAAAAAAGCCACAAATCAGCCACCCTTGATGGACGTAAAAAAATTCGTAATAGGTTTTAAGAAAAACCATTTAGTATATCTTGTTCAGAAAATTTTTTCCATAAGATGTACGATTTTCATCAAATATTTTTCTTCGATCCCCTGATTTTATCAAAATTTTTAAAAAATTTCAATTTTTTTTGGTGAAGTAGCTTGTTTTATAGAGAACTTTTTCAGAGCATTAGCTGATTTTTTTCTAAGACGTATTCCGAATGTTTTCATGCTCATCAAAAGTCGTTGATTTGTGGCTTTTCCCGCCTTAAATCGATCCTAACTTTCGGCAATTGGCTATTTCGCAAAAACAGTAAACGTATTCGGAATCAGCGTAAAATTCTGCACAAGATATGCTTGGTCCCGTCCCGATGTCCGAGCGACACTCAAAAACGTCTCCCTGACCGCGAATCAAACGCAACAAACCTGGTAATAGTGGTCGCAGGACATCGGATCAAGTCGATAGTTCTCGACGCCTTCTCGTTGCTAAAAATGCCTTTTTCTACGGTAATCCAGGGTTGCATACGGTGCATTCTCCACCGACGGTCATCCCCTCGCACAGCCCACGGATGCAACGCCCGTCCGCGAATCCGCTGCCGAATTCGCAGGACTGCTTGTACCATTTGCCCTGGTAGCACAGCTCGAAGCTAAAAGGTGTCCCGTTTTAATCCCGTTTTCTAAGGGGCCCCACAGTCCGCACTGGCCAGCGATCGCACGTTTTTGGCCCTGGTAGCACCAATCGCCTGGGGGTTCCGGGTAGACGAGCTGCTGGTCCCACACGCAGCGAGAGGTCTGAAAAAATGGATTTCCTGAGGGATCACTGCTTGCTCGCCCTTGGTCGTGAACGCGTAGTTCGGAACCTGAGAATCTCTCATCGTGCTCACTCACTCACTCACTCTCTCTCTCTCTCTCTCTCTCTCATCTATCTCTGTCACTCTCTGTCTCTGTCTCTGTCTCTGTCTCTCTCTCTCTCTCTCTCTCTCTCTCTCTCTCTCCCTCGCTCTCTCTGTCTGTCTGTCTCTCTCGGGCTCTTCTCTATCTCGCTCATTCTCTTGCTCACTCCGTTCTCTCTCTCTCTCTCTCTCTCTCTCTCTCTCTCGCTATCTCTCTAACGACACGTTTAACCAATTACGCTCACTACTTCCCAGCCACAAACCTTCCAATCAAAGTACGACTTCTCCGGACATTCCCTCTGCACCCATCCCCCCATATCGCACACCCAATACGCTCGGTTGTTGTTCGGATGGGCGCGTACTTGGCCGGATTGGCAGTCCTGTTGCGTGTATGGGTCTGGAATTTGTGGGTCTTAAAGGGACAGTGAAGTCAAGGACCTGTATACCCGGGGCACGCCTTGCCCGTGTCGCATCGCCCATTGATGAACGGCTGGTTGTTCGGGCATCGCCCCTCGCGCCACTCGCCTTCCCAGCAGATTCTGAATTCGGAAGGTAAAAAGGAAAGAAAAGAATAAAGATGAAGCTAGTTTAAGCCTAAGCCTAAGCCAAGCCAAGCCTAAGCCAAGCCTAAGCTAAGCCTAAGCTAAGCCTAAGCTAAGCCTAAGCTAAGCCTAAGCTAAGCCGAAGCTAAGCCTAAGCTAAGCCTAAGCTAAGCCTAAGCTAAGCCTAAGCTAAGCCTAAGCTAAGCCTAAGCTAAGCCTAAGCTAAGCCTAAGCTAAGCCTAAGCTAAGCCTAAGCTAAGCCTAAGCTAAGCCTAAGCTAAGCCTAAGCTAAGCCTAAGCTAAGCCTAAGCTAAGCCTAAGCTAAGCCTAAGCTAAGCCTAAGTCTAAGTCTAAGCCTGAAGCCCAGGCCTCTGATACCTGTAGCGTCCGCATTGTTCCACCGGCTGGTACCATCCCTTTTGGCACTTGGCCGGTTGACCACAGTTTTCACTAAATTGGCATAAAATTTAAATAGTTAATTTTTAAGGATTAATTTAAATATAATAATAAATCACCAATAATAATAAAATCAATAATAAAAGGCAATTTTGAAAACAAAAATTTAAATTTAAATTGATAGTTACCCCTGAATACAGCTTCTCGAGAATGGATCAAAGAACGTCCTCGGCGGGCATTCCATCATACGGTATCTAGAAGTGTTTAAATAGATTTAATGTTTAAAATGGAATAAATTAAGCGTATCGGCTACAAACTACAGACTACCGTACCTTCCGTACTGTGTACACTCGAGGAATCGGGTACAGTCGATCGGGTCCACCACACGGTCCTTGTCACGGCACTGCGCCGTTTCGTAGCTTGGAGGCTAGAAAAGATTTATTATGATTTTTGCGAAATTAAAATCGTAATTTTTGAGAAATTAACATAATTTTTGAGCTGCTTCTTACAGGAGCTGGTGGCTGCGGGAAACTGGGCACTCCATAGGAACCGGAAATCGGCTGTCGATAAACGTCGGATGGCTCGCGGCTCCGGAGGCTGGTGTTCGTCGCTGAAAATGGGTTTCATTTGCATATTCCAAAATCCCGGTTCTTTCGCATTTACGGGGGGTGCCAGAACTTTTTTGTAAGTCCAGTGATGCTTAGTAAGTTAATAGGCCGTGTTTTAAAGGCGTTTTTAGTATGTTGAACCAGAAAGGCTATCTCAAAACTTTGAAAAATGTTGAAAAACGTCAAAAAATTGGTCATTTTGGATAGAAAAATCGATATTTTTGATGTTTTTTTTTAATAAAAAAATTGTAAAGTTTGCATTTTTAGGAAAGACCATTCATTTAGAAGCACTACCACTATTTATATTTGAAAAATCAGATTCTAACGACGTAAGAACAAAGGAAAAGTAAAAACCTAACGTAAGTAAAAAGTTGGGTTAAATTTTCGAGATACTTTCCCCAAAGCATGCAATTCCGCCATGATTTTCGAAATCTACATGCAAAACTACATCCAAATCTGCTTCAGAATTTTTTTACCCAAACGAGAGAGTGGAGAGACAGCAAGAGAAAGACCCACGGATTCCAAACTGCCCATTTGAATCCGCCCCGGCCTCATATTGCACATCCCCATATTGGCCGTTCTCACAGCTGCCGGGCACGCATTTTGCTGCCGTTTTTGCTGAAATTATGCGAATTACAGCAACCAACACGCAGAAAAACGTACAGAAGGTATAACTATCAGGGCATTCAAATTCTTGCCATTGCCCGAATTTGCATTGGAGGAAACGGCCGCAGTTTGGTTGCGGAACGAGGAACTGAAGGAAGGGAGGTTAACAATAAAATTGTATAAATTCATAGAAAAAATTCCGTACCGAGCCGTGCTTGCATGCCAATTCGTGGCCATTTCCGCACTGCATCCGCCCATCGGTCACGCATTGACCAGCTTGCACGTCGAAACGGCCTTGTTCGCATCTTACAAAATTTGTGTTTTATCTTTCTCTCACTCGCGCGCTCTCTCTCGCTCACTGTCTGTCTGTCTCTCTTTCACTGTCTGTCTCTCTCTCTCTCTCTCTCTCTCTCTTCTCTCTCAATCTCTCTTTCTCTAGCTTTCGACTTAAAGCCAACTTTTCCGCGTTCCACACGCCATCCGAGCAGCGATAGTAGGTGCCGCATTCGTCGAAGTGGGCCTGGAATGGGAGATAGGAAGTCGAAGCCTAAAATGCTAAGCCTAAGCATAAACCTAAGCCGAAGCCTAGCCTAAGCCTAAGAATAAGCTCATCTTTCTACCTTGAGATCTCCATCCTGGCATTGCCCCGGGACAGCCTTGGCGAGCATGGGCTCCCGGCATTTTTGGCATGGAGCTGAAACCAAATAGTTTTTCTGCAAAAGTCGTGCTCACCCAGGAAATGGCCTTTCTTTTGGCAGTCGAACGACTCGAATTGGCCCTTCATGCACATTTGGAACGTCTAAAAGAGGCAGCTAACTAGCTCGGGACTGTCTCCCGTTCTCTCTCTCTTTCTCTCTCTCTCTCTCTCTCTCTCTCTCTCTCCCTCTCTCGCTCTCTCTCTCTCTCGTCAATCGCCTACTCTGCAATCCGTGGTCTGTATAATGTCATTCTCCCGGCACATCTCTTCCTGATCTCCCCTCCGGCACTGCGAATTCCGGACACACGTCTGCGTCGAACGATTCCACGATGTCATTTTTGGGCAAGAGTACCATTCATAGCTGAAAAAGCGGTACTTAACTACATGCCATATTCCACTTACGTTCCACTGTTGCACTTCGCAAATGTATGGCAATTCAACGAGTACGAGTCACCGTTGTTGCACTGTAATTTGGAGCCTAATGTACCGTAGCTCGCAAGGTGATCACCTCTCGCTCGGCGGCGCACGTGTAATCGTCTTGGCAGGTCTGGAGATCTTCATTGAATGTGCGGCCCGAGTTGCACTGCATCTTGGCCCAGCTGGGCGAGCCGTTCGAGTTAACGCATTGCATGTACTGGAATTTGAAAAGGAGGTTTGCCGTCCTAGACCTATGCCGAAGCTTAAGCCCAATCGAATCCTAGGCCTAGGCCGCCTAAGCTAACCCAAGCCTAAGCCTAAAGCTAAGCCTAGGCCTAAGCTAAGCCAAGCCTAAGCCTAAGCCAAGCCAAGCCCAAGTAAGCCTAAACCTAGACCTAAGCCTAAACCTAAGCCTAACCAAACTCACGTGGTCACATCCGCGTTCGCTTCGCCGCTTTTCTCCAAGCTTGCAGATCCCGCATTCCCGGACTTCACCGCATTCTTGGCCGTTGAAGTGGAGCCCCCGTGGGCATTGGAAGAAGTGGGCCTAAAAGTAACATTTTATCCCTCTTACTCTCTCTCTCTCTCTCTCTCTCACTAGCTCTCTTTCTCCGACCTTTTGTCCCTCGCATCGGATAAACTGGGACGAGCATCGTTCCTGGACGGGTAGGACTTGCCATTCATTTCCGCTGGAAAAATGTTTTTTATAGTTTTAGGTGCTCTTGTGGCCCAATTATATAAGTTCCAGATTACTAGCATATACTAACGCAACACTTACACACAAACGCCACGGGCTGGGCAAAGGTCGCTGTGTGTCCATCTCCGGCAAACGCCCTGACGATGGTCGAATAGGTGGCCGGCCTGGCATCGGATCAGAGTGGGCTTGTCGGTGCAGTCGATGTACCTGAAATTTAGGTCTAAACTTAAGCCGAAGCTAAGCTTAAGCCTAAGCAAATGCCTCCTAAGCCTCCCAAGCCGCCCAAGCGTCCAAAGCCTAAGCCTCCTAAGCCCAAGCCTAAGCCTGAGCCTGAGCCTAAGCCTAGAACGAAGCCTTCTAAGTATCCTAAGCCTTCGAAGCCTCCTAAGCCTTCTAAGTCTCCTAAGCCATGCCTCATCCTAAACCTAAGCCTCACCCTAAACCCTAAGCTTTCGCCATGTTACCTACCACGTGGCGCATTTCCCAGCCCGGTGCACCTCTTCTGGTTCTTCATCATTTTCGGGTTGATTGTCGTAGTGGACATACGGATTCAAAGATTTTCGATCTGAAAAAATCGGATTTCCAGCTTCTCTGTAATTTTCTAGTTAGCTTCTAGCTGGAGACTCTCGCAGCTCCCAGCTCCCGCTAGCTTTTCCTACGCACCGCAATGACGATGCACAAAGTACTGGCGAATCGGGTGGAAGGCTTCGCCGGAAGTGTCGTCGTATCCCTTTTCAATACCTTCACATTTCAGTTCCTGGGTCAGTCGGCTGCCTGAAATGGAGGTGATTCGCTCTCTCTCTCTCTCTCTCTCTCTCTCTCTCTCTCTCTCTCTCTCTCTCTTAAACCTACCAAACGGGCATCCGGCATAGTAATGTCTCTCTTTATCTTTCTCTCTTTCTCTATCATCTATCTCTCTCACTCTCCCTCTCTCTCTCTCACCTACCGAACGGGCATCCGGCAATAGTAATGTCTCGCAGGTTGTCGTGGCAGACCAGGGCTTGTCTGGATAGCTGCGATTTTCCGAAGTACACCGCTGCTCCGTGGGTGCAGAATTCGTCTTTCTAAAGGGATTTTGCAGCTTAATCTCTCCCTCTCTCTCGTATTGTGTCTCGCTCTCTCGCTCTCTCTCACACTGTCTCTCTCTCTGTCTCGCTCTCCCTATCTACCTCCACAAGCTGTCTTGTCTCCTCATTCATCGTATTCATCTGCGCATCAAAGCACTCGACCACTTCTTCGGTAGCTCGGCATTTCCCGTTGGAAAACACCTAAATATGGTAATGCTGTGAGAAAGAGTACGAGACGATACCATCAACTCTCCGGGACACGTTCGGAAGGCGGTTGTTTGGCCATCGGCGGAACATTCGATAAAAGATCGGGCACAAGCGCCAAGTCCAACGAATTTCACTCCTCTTCGGCACAATGAATTGATGGTGATGGCTCTGGAAGTGCTTTTAGCGTAAAGCTAATTACGGAACATCCCGCACTGATAGTTCGATCAATTAATGGGCGACCCCCAGTTCTAGACCAGTTTTTTACGCTGATTCCAAATCTGCAGTCATGTTATGCCACAGAGCTGCTGTTTTTAAGATAAAGGACGTTTTCTGTAGCTTTACAGAACAGCCCAAGACCGTGGAATATGACAGACCCTAGGTAAAAAATTACGCTGATCCGATTGCAATTAAAAAACCACCCGGAGCTCCGTCCAAGTCCGCCGTGGTTGGCTCATGGGGAGCCGGCGGTCTTGAAGGCACAAGGTGAGAGTTCGATTCCACCCCGTAAGTCGTTTTTGCTTTATGCAGCTAGTCTTGCAATGTAGATCGTATTTTTGTCGTAGCAGCGCCTTATTTATAATCCTTGATCCCTGAAATAACATTTTGAGAAATTTTGATCCCTCAAAACTTTTGGAAAATCGCATCGTGATGGGTAAAAATGAATGAAAATGAAAAATGTTTTTTGACAAAACTTTTCCGGAAACTTCACAGTCGTTCTAGAAGCTCAACTTCTTTTGTAAACGCTTCAGAAAGGAAATGAACCAAAATTGTGCCGTTTTACGGGTCGAAAACCGTATCTTCTGGGTGACAAATCAATATTTCTCGAAAACTAAGGGTCTGTGACAAAAACGTATTGCAGATTTGGAATCAGCGTAAAAAACTGGTCTCGAGGTGGGGTTCGGTTAATGAATCGATCTTCAACTTGGGAACGTTCCGTTGTTAGGCTAGGTTTAGGCTTACTCACGTGCTCAACAGGTGATCCGGATTCGACTGCTCATCTTGGTTTTCGCCTAAAATTTAGCGAAATTTAAAATGATTCCCAAACTCGCATGTCAACAACACCCTAAAACTAACCCCTTGACCGTCCGGCCGCGACTACAGTAACCCAGAATAAAAGAGCCCACAGCGTGGCGGGACCCATTTCGGGGGGAAGTGAGGAGCAGCCCGGGCTTCTCCAGCATTTCCATGCCCATTTTTGTTGATATTTTGTCTCCCCAATTCCCATAATGTTGCCGCCGTTTTTTGGGGGCATTGCGAATCGCGAATTTCGTGAATCAGGGTGGCAGGAATTTCGAAATTTAATCAGGATTCAGGGCGTCATCGTGGTGTCGAGATGTTGTGGCGCCGAAGTTGAGGGATCGTGATTCGAGGGGAAATGGAAATAAAAATATAAAGTCATGAATTTCTGGTAGTTATTGGATGCGAGAGAGAGAGGGAGAGAGATAGAGAGAGCGAGGGAAAGAGTGAGGAGCGAGGGAGAAAGCGAAAAATAGGTGGTTCAGAACCTACCTTCCCTCAAAAATTTTTCTTTTGTCGAACTGGTTTTGTATTTTATCATTTTTTTATGGCTTTGTGGCCGCTATCTGCTCTCTCACTCCCTCTCACTCTCTCGCTCTCTCTCGTTTTCTCTCGCGTTTTCTCCCCCGGAGCTTGAATCTATGGGCGCGACAAATCGATATTTTCTACTTGGACGGCGCTCCACGCGCATGATAAATTTAGAGATAGAGCCAGAGTAAGAAAGCAAAAGTGAGAGAGCGAAATTGAGAGAGAGAGAGCGCGAGAGTGAGAGAGTGAGCGAGAGAGTGTGAGTAAGTGAGAGTGCGAGTAAGTGAGAGAGAGCGAAGGAAAGAAATCGAGAGAGAGAATGAGAAAGAGAGATTGAGCGAGAGAGACAGAGAGTGAGCGAGAGAGGGCTCCTGGCGAGGCTAGCGAAGATCATTTGAGAAGTAGGCTTTGCCCCCGTATAATTATGCTTTTCAGGATTTCTTCTCAACCCCTGAATTCCGTTCCACTCCTCCTTACAACCCACTCCCCCGTGCCCCCAATAAAACATGCGTCGATAAAACGACTGCCCGTCTTCAACACGCCGTAAATCGGCGGGCAATAAAGTGAAGAGTGAAGGTGTGAGTGTCGCCCCCACTTCAAACGGCCCTATAATATACAGGTCGGAATCAAAGTCTTAATAAAAGTCGTCTCTCCGATGTCGTAAACACGGGGAGAGGGCCCCGATTTGGTCAGATCGCCCAGGGAATGGGCTGTTAAACATGGACAGGGCTTTTTTGAGTGGGTGTCCCGTATTGCAACGGTGCTTTGCGGTGTCGCTTTCATCTTGGAGGTGTCAAAAAATGGGGAGTGGAATCGTATAGAGAAAGTTAAGGGTTTAATGGTCGTTGAAAATTGGAATTTTTAGGGACAATAAGATCAGCAAGTATCTGATTGATGTATAAATGAAACCAGCAAGTGGAGCTTACTCTCTCTCTTTCTCTCGTCGTCCCTCTCTGTCTCTCTCGCTGTCGCTCTTTCTCTCACTCTCTCACTCCTCTCTTTCTTTATCACACTCGCCCTCTCTCTCACCCTCACTCTCGCGATCTCTCTCGTTCCCTGTCTCTCTCCGAAATTACGAAAATCCCTCTGTCGTCCTGCGCTCTAGAAATTCCCAAATGGTCTCTGCAGGGCCACCAGCCGTTTGAGTAGGCTAGCGGAGACCATTTGTGAATTTTTCTGAACCTCGCTCTCACTCTCTCTTCTAGTTCTCCTTCTCGTGCTCGTCCTCGCTCTCGTCTCTCTCTGTCTGGCTTTCTCTCTCGCTCTGTCTCTCTCAGAGCTCTATATGCCGCCTTGCGTTGACGCTAAAAATTTCCTAATGATCTCTGCTGGGCCACTAGCCGTTGGAGTCGGCTAGCGGAGACAATTTGAGAATTTTTGAAACACTCTCGATCTCCTTCTATCTCTCTCTCCATCTCTCTCTCTCTCTCTCTCACCCTCCCCTCTCTCACTCTCCCAACGATACAACTTGTAACCTGTTCCCTACCCAGATAGCTTACATCACTCCTCCTAATCCCTATGATCCAACTTCCAGTGTGGCAGGAACACTTGTGTGCCCTAGGGGCACAACCTTAAGCCCTGCTGGTAGTTGATGCCCTGAGAATGTGGCCAGGGGTTTTTGTCAAACGCTTGGGGGTAAGCCTCCGGCCATTGGGT